GTCTCAGCAGTAAGTTATAATAACCCTTCTTTAACTGGTTCTTAAGCAGTTATTAGCTGCTTAGGTCTATTTCTGCGTCCCGCAGCCTCTACCGTGTTGCCTCGAGAAATGCACTATCCTTTGAGCAACAGCGACAAGCTCTAGAACTAAGAGAAAGAGAAATTCAGCTCAGAAAGGAAGAAATTGAGCTTAAAAAGGGTGAGGAAGAGGTTCGAGATATACAATTAAAGAATAAAGAAAAGGAGTTACAACTTATGGAAAGGCGGGAAAGACTTCGACAGATAACAGATAATAACTAGTGAAAAACTGTTTTAAACGTGAAAGGGAATCAGAGCCTTAGTAATTTTTTTTTTTTTTGTTGTATTTTACGGCCGTGTGACACCGCCTAAGCACGTGTCCTACCGTCCCCTGTTGGGGCAAAGGCCGCCAGGGGGTAAGCCCTGGGCGTCACTAACTAGCTGCTAGTTCTATATACAGATAGGGGACTTCGGCGCGTTTAATAGCTGCTTCAGTCAAAGGAAAAGGTCTCTGCGATGCAGAGAAAGAGAGAAATGCCAGCTGCAAAGGTCCTTCTACACTCCGTGACTATACCTGCTACCACTAACGCATATTTTTTTTTTTTGGGGGGGGGGAAAGCCTCAGCCTGGTTAAAGTAAGGGAGATCGGGTATAGATATTCTCAAAGAAGTGGATTTCAGTTAGCCAGGCAGCTAACTTGGCCGCGCCCTTTGGGGTACCTAATAGGAAGGGGATTGTCTCAGAGGGAGAGCCTAAGAGTCGGGGCAGGCATCTTTTGGCGATATAACAGAAAAGAAAGTGGATTGAGGTTTTCCTTGCTCTGCAGCGGCAGAGAATGTATGTATCTTCGTGATTGAAACGTTCGTGATAAGCTGCAAAATCTCTATGACCCGTACGGGCCGCTAGAATCCGTGCGAAGAGGTATCTCGGGAGTTTTAGCTCTGCAGGGCATCTAGAGGATTTGATAATCCAGAGATCCTGATAGGATTGCGGGACCTTGAGCTACCAGTATTCCTGAAAGGCAGATATAGTGTCGTCCTTTGTCTGCCGCCTTAATGAGGCATACGAGTGTTTACTTGCAAGAGAAAGGAGTATGCCTGCTCCCTTTTTAGCAGTCTGATCTGCTGTTTCATTCTCTGGTATTTGTATATGACCGGGAATCCAGTAGATCCGGACGGAGCTGCTGCCGGTATATAGATATCGTTCCCGTACTGACCAGGATGAGGCAAGGTCTTGGAAAGTATTGAAGACCTTTTGGGATAATCCCGAAAAGGTTAAGAGAAGGCATGTAACTACCTCTAGGTTATCTAAGCAGATCCAGAGATTGGTAGCAAGGTAAGCTGTAATTAGTTTAAGAGCTATTTTAATTCCAGCTAGTGCTGCTTCAGCTTCTGCATCAAAAACCTCTTTGTTAGGGTCTAGAGAAAGAGAAGACTGTTAGTACAGTTTTCCTGATTAATATAAGGTAAAACCCGTACCTGCCATTCCATTTGCCAGTTTTGAGCCGTCTGTAAAGACCTTTATGTCTGTCAGGGAAAGAGAGGCATAGAAATTCTAGAAATTGCTAGCCGCCTATTCCTTGGTTTGGCCTGTTAAAGCTCTAATCCGTTGTTGGGCTGCTTCACGTGACTCTTGCAGGAGCCAGGGGGCATTTTGCAAAGGGTTTATTTGTTCTAACTTCGGCAGGGCTCGTACGCGACGCGCAAAACGGCTTTTCTTGAGGCTTATACGGATTACCTCTTCTGCTCTCTTGCGAAACAGGTAATAAGGGTTAAGGCAGCGTATGCGGACTGTAACAGTAGCAACTCTATATTTTAGCTCAATCTTTGCTGGTAGGAGCCCCGACTCCCGATAGAGAGCTAGTATTGGAGTTATGCAGTAAACTGGGAGGACTGCTCTAGCCCCTGCTAGTATAACTTTGGTCACTCTGTCTAGGTGTCCTTGGACCCGGTTTGAGACTGTTCCTGTGCGTAGATCAGGGCGAAAGTAACCTGGCCACCAGGTTTCAGTACTATAGTAGACTTTAGAGAGTACGCAGGCCTTGATTGCCTGCCGCATAAGGTAAGGGTTAACCTCTCGCACTGTATTACTGAGGGAGCGGAATGCATTTGCTACAGTCAGACCCTTTAAAATGATTTTACGAATATAGTATTTGAAACTGAGCTTTTTGTCAAAGAGAATCCCCAGCCAACGTAGGTACGGGCAAGTTATATTTTCCTTAATTATAATAATGTCTGCGGATACTGAAGGTATACTGTTAAGGTTTTAATCTATCCGATGCCGTAAGAAATATAACAGCTTATATTTGTTAGGTACAAAGGTTATCCCTTCTGATAAATCCCAGTCCAGGGCCTCTTGCAGAGAGTTTGATAGGGTTTAGCAGTTTTCCCCCAGAGTAAGTAAAATTGCAAGAAATGCTGTATCGTCTGCATAGCCAAATCTGGTCAGGGGCTCGCCCAGCAGGAACAATGGGGCTATATAAAGCATAAACAGGATAGAAGATATGGGTGAGCCTTGCGGCAGGTATCCAGCGGATCAGGTTGTCAGGCCAGCCCTGCGTGCGTAATCGGTAGATCAGTCTCCTAGGAAGGACCCCATCGAAGGCTCCTTTGATGTCGAGAGTCAGTAGGGAGACAGTCTTTCCTTGATTTAGTGCTAACTCTGCATTATGCAGCAGGCATGTAATCAGATCGACTGCTGAACGAAAAGGTAGAGCCCCAAATTGTTGGCTGGAAAGTATCTTATAATGGATTGCAATCTATGCCATATTCCGCGCTAGAAGGCGTTCTAGGCCTTTACCTAGGACTGAAAGAAGGGCAATCGGCCTGTACAACCTAGAGCTAGACCAGTCTGCCTTATTGGGTTTCTGAATAATTACCAGAATTGCGTGGCAGAAACATTAAGGGTAATAGCCTACTGACAAGCAGCTTTAAAAGAGAGTAAAGACTCTATCTTTGATTGTAAACTATATTATCTTGAAGATGCTAGTCGGTAGTTCATCCTTTCCTAGAGTTATATTTCCTGCGTGCAAGATAGCTTTCTCTATTTAGGCTATAGTTATTTCTGGGAATTGCAGGGTCCTGGATGGGACTGCTGGTAAATCAAGTGGTATATCTCCTGCCTCTGCAGAGTTCTGCAGAAGATTGCAGGCTAAGATATTACGTTTAGCTTGTACATTTACTGCTGGTAGGTTCTCTGGTTGCTGAGGGTCTGCCAATGGGAGACTGCGACATAATCCTGTTATTCTGTACTATTTAGATATGTCGAATACCTCTTTAGCCGTAGTCGTTAAGTTTATTTTATCTTTCTAGTAGTTTCGCTGTGCCTGTCTTACCACCCGGCGGAAGTCCTTTTGTAAGTAAAGACCTGTTCGATATTTTAAAAGTGCTTCCTTGCAGTCTGGGTTCCACCAGGGCTGTCCCCCTCCCTGTGATCTAGTTTTGCGTGCAGAGATTTTGTATGCACTATATATAGCTGAAATAATCCCGCTTGCAAGGTAATCGAGTTCTTTTTCTAAATGTACAATTGCTGGGAGGGCTTTGGTGTTCAGGGTTAAGAGAGTTTGGAAACGGGTAGTATCTAGAGTGCTGAGCTTAAGCCTCTGCGGGACTTCTGGGTATCTTTGTTCCCAGGGGAGGGTAGTAAGAAGAGGGTAATGGTCAGATGTGGCATCTAGATGGCGTGCGACCCTGGTATGTGCTCCCGTGAGAGCAAGGGAACCTGATGCGAAGGCTAGGTCAAGGGTATTGCCTCTATTGTGCGTAGGGGTGTCGATCTCGGAGATTAGTACTAGTCCCTGTTGGTCTAGCCATTCAGATACTGGCTCAGCAGAGATAGAGTGGTTTCGCTGGAGTGAGGGCTGCCATCTGGTATGTCGCAGGTTAAAGTTGCCCGCTAACAGGGTTAGTTGAGTAAAGTAAGAGTCAGGAAGTTTAATCAGTTCCTGTGCGGCTCTGTCAGGTCTGATTGAAGATCCAGTGGGAGCATTGTAAATATTGAAAATTAGGGTAGGTTACCCTGAGCGTGCAGAGATTTGGAGAAAGAAAAGATCTGATAGTACTTCTTGGTCGATTGTATTAGGGCGAAGCTGTAAGAAATATATACCCTTTTTCTTTCGGATGTAGGTAAGGACTCTAGATCGGCCTCCTGTCGTCCAGCTATCAGTAGAGGAAAGGTATTCGTATAAAGGATGTCTTTTGGTAATCTTGCGGGCAAGATCCTTATATATATAGGGTTCCTGTATCAAGATAATGTCAGTATTGGTAGAAAATGCCTAAGATAGAACGATTTCGTGAGCTGTATTATTGCGGCCCACATTCAGCTGAAATATTGAAAGAGAATCTGTTTAATAGCTCTAAGATCTTATAGTTTTTCACTCGTAAGAGTTCCAAACTGGTTTTATAGTGGTAGTGTCGTAAAGCGTACTGCCCTGGCTGTAACTGGAAGAGAGTCTGCTGGTTCTTGTTAAGGAGGAGTTACTGGGCGGAATGGAGAGATCGTAGATTGGCTGTCGATAGACATATCCTGATCTTGCGAGACTCCGGGGGTTTCAGTTTCAGGGATTTCTGGAGGCTGAAAACAGCATTTGCTCTCAGTCCGTACCTTAGAGAGGGCTGCAGAACAGGTCTTTTAGATCTCCGCCTGCTGGACCTTTGTGAAACGAGACCCTGGCTTGCTGGGCCGAAGAAGGCATTGGTCATAGTCTGCTGGGTGAGGGCCATGGCAGTGTAGGCATCTTAGGGGGCATATATGAGGAGCTGCGGCATCGCAGTGATTGGTATAACCCTCCTCGGTATATTGTGTAAAGCCGCAGAGACGGTATCGAGGGTTACGTATACAGGATCTGGGATTATGCCACTTCCAGCAACAGTTGCATTGCGAGATCTTGAACTTTCTGAATAGAGGTTGGGCGTTAGTAATCATACCAAACAGAGATAGTCGTACAGATAATTTGGCCTTACTATCTTCAGGAAAATTGATAAACTAGCTTGAAGAGATTGTATTTATATCAGAAGCACTAGCAGCAGTTTCAGTTACATTAACTGGGGTAAGGCCAGTAGTTTCCGCTATTTCAGCTGATAGTATCTCTGGGTTAACAGAGATCAGAGTGTATTGACCTGCATTAAGCTGGCCGACCTTTCTTGGTATATTTGTTACCCGATACGAGATCCAGCGGGAGCTTCGCTCGATCTGGCAATTAGTGAAGAAAACAGAAATAGCGTCTTTCTGAGCCTCTAGAGCTGCGAGAGTTTCCGGAGATGTTAGCAGTAGGGCAAATCCAGTCTTGATAGACTGAATACCCTTGAGTACCCTATTGTTGGTACCTAGATGGGATCGGAGGCTGGTATAGATAGCGTATGCGTCTACGTTCTTGGCTTTGTGGTTCGGCGGGAGGCGGACGAAGAGGCGGGAGTCAGGCTGCTGGTTTAGAGTAGGGATTATAGTCTTTTTCTTTGCCTTAGGCTGAGGTGTGCTTGGGGCTTTAGCAGTAGTTGATTGAGTGACTGTTGCGTATGTCGACTGAGCAAGACCGGAGGGGGGGCGAGATGGAGGGGGAGAAGGGGGTAAGGAAGCAGGAGGAGCAGGAATAGGGGCAGGGGCAGGGGCAGGGGGGTTCGCAGTCAAGGTCAAAGGAATACCGCTGATATAGGCATTGAAGTGCCGTTGGGCTATATCAGCCAGGTCATTGCTGAGTGCGTCAAGTGCACTTTGCTGGTGAGGCGCAAGGGCTAGCAGACTCCGGTGTTTGTCAAGAAAGGCTGCTATTGGGTTGAATATCTTCTGGCCTTCGGTAGCCCTAGTAGAGGCTGCAGTAGTTGTCTTCAGTAGAGCAGCTTGTAGAGGCCCGCCTGGTTGGGAGCTGTGTGTTGCCATTTTAGCGACACGTGTCCCGTAGCGGTCAGATTGGGTGAAGCTTGGCCGTGGACGGGCGTCCCTGATCCCGGGCCCGGTGCCCGGAGTGAAAAACTAGATATGAGTATTCGGAGGAGCTCTTGTCGAAATATTCTAAGCACGGTGCTTAGAATCGGTGTTGTTGGCTTGGGGCTTGTGAAATTTTCCGAGTGATCTTCTTTGCACAGTAAATATGCTTCCTCCAATGGCCGAACTCACGTGACCAGTCTGCTGTGCGGGGAAGGAAGGGATAGTGAGGGCTATAAACTAGTTACGATGTTGTGATTCAGCGTCGGTATTGCTACTTCCTACTAGCTTGTAGGCAATTTCGACAAGCCCTTGCGACATCGGGTCTCTCGTGAGGAATATATTAATCAGGGATTAGGTCCCGAGAGCGACATAGAATGGTCAGCTTCAACAACTCAATCCTCAAACATCGATCACACCGGCACCGCGATCATGGAAAAAGGCGCCACCTTCTCTACCAATGAACCGTCCGTCCCCCAATTGGACGCCCAAGTCGTCGAAGTCCTTCACGCGGAGGCCACGCCAAAAGAAGAGAAGTTAATTTTGCGGAAAATCGACTTGCAGTATGTCGGCCTTTTTATCGCCCTTTCTCGTGCGGCATTCTGATGATAACTGACAATAAATGCTAGCATAATACCGGTTATGGCTGTATGCTACATGCTTCAATACATGGACAAGGTGACTTTGGGTTACGCCACCCAGCTAAATTTAAGAGCAGATCTTGTAAGTGCAAGAGCCATTCTATGGGAAACTTATCATAACGTGCTGTCCCTAACGACTCTCCATTCTTCAGAACCTCCAAGGCAGCGAATACAGCTGGTGCTCCTCCGTCTTCTACTTCGGGTATCTCTTCTGGAGCTGGCCGAGCAGTTACATCTCCGTTCGCTTCCCGCTGGGCAAGTACCTGGGGGCCTCCGTGGCCCTCTGGGGCGTGGTGCTGACCACCCACGCCGCCTGCACCAACTTCGGCGGCCTGTTAACCGCCCGCTTCTTCCTGGGAGTCACCGAGGCGGCGGTGGCGCCGGGCTTTTCGCTCATCACGGGGATGTTCTACAAGACCTCAGAGCAGCCGTCACGAATGACATTGTGGTTCCTCGGCAACGCTGTCGCCAATGTCGTGTCCGGCCTCATCGCGTACGGGATCGGCCGGATTGACTCGCATATCGCCTCGTGGAAGTTACTCTTCCTCATTCTCGGCGTGATTACCGTCGCTTATGGCATTTTTCTGGGGTTCGTTCTCCCCGATTCGCCCTCGAAAGCCTGGTTCTTGACCGCCGCTGAGAAGAAGATCGCGCTGCACCGGACCTTGGAGAACCGGACGGGCGTGATGGATGAAGGGGACTTCAAGGTCTCCCAGATGCTGGATGCACTCACGGATCCCCAGGCCTGGTTGCTGGTTGGTTATAGTGTCACTCAGAATATCCCGAATGGAGGGTTTAGTTCGGTATGTACAGTTCATACGTACAAGCCCTCTCATTCCTTTGTCTCGCAAGTGCATATGCAAAACCGACACCGCTGACCCCAAGTTCAAACAAAAGTTCAGCAGCATAATCATCAATGGCTTCGGGTTTAGTGAACTCAACTCCCTCCTCCTCTCTGCACCCAGCGGCCTCCTCCAGATCCTCGCCATCGGCGGCATCTGCCTCACTGCTGCCTACATCCCCAAAAGCCGGATCCTCACGATGATCGTAGTCATTGTGTTCGCGCTCGTAGGCGTGATCTTGATGAACACGCTACCCGATTCTAACCGCTGGGGCCGCTGGGTGGGGATTTTCCTGCTGGGCCCCTTTGCCACCAGTATCCCCATTTCTTTGAGTCTGATCACGTCGAATGTCGGGGGTTTTACGAAGAAGGCGACCGTCTCGGCGATGCTGTTTCTCGCGTATTGTACTGGCAATATCATTGGGCCCCAGTTGTTCTTTGCTGATGAGGCTCCAAAGTATCCTGTAAGTCTGTTGTTGTGTGTTCGCGTGCGTGTGTTTCTTGGTCTGGTCACTTTCCCATGGGCTCCTCCCCTGATTCCAATCCCCCTTTGTTTTGCCTCCTGCAATCACTAACTGAACCAACAATGTATGTAATAGACCGGACTGAGAGGAGTTCTAGTTGGATTCGCTCTAGCGATCTTCTTCCTCATCCTCTTATACATCTACTACGAGTACGAGAATCGACGACGCGACAGGAAATACGCCCCCCCTGATCAGGCAACCACGGAAGATTACGTGACGGAGGACTTCCTGAGTCGCACCGACAGACAAATTCCGTCTTTCAGGTATACATTATAAGCTGGAGAAGGGGGGCGACGGTTCTACCCTTTCGAGGGTGTAGGGAGGGCCTGAGACCCTGGCGGCAGGAAAACACTGACAGGGTAAATGCTTCATTTTCACGAGCAGTATAAATATGCTCTGGCATCAGGGCATAATCAGCATGTCTCAAGTATTTCGGGTCCCGTAGTGAGTCAAATAATAGTGTTTAACTATCTAGTATGTGTCAGTTTAGGATACTGTTCCCTTACTAACGTTTTGTTTCAGCATTCTATATAATGTGGCATCATCTATCAATAGACCACGTCTATTGCGAAAAACAAAGCATAGAAATCTAGAGTGCTCATATAGGCAGAATAAACAGAGGTACCTGGGTTGACTAAACGAATTAATTGAGCCGGTTAAATGAAGTGACAAAGGACCATCTACAAGGTAAGGGGTGCCTAGTGATACCGAAGGCAATTTGGGTTTTAATATTAAACGGTCGGCTTAACTTACCCACTGAGCTACTCGAAAGACCGGAATTTCAATCCAACAGATCGGAACACGTGGTTCGTGCCTTCGTCACAAGCACCTCAATCCCCTTTACGATATGTGTTTAGTTGCAGGTTTTTCGTCCTAATCCCCAGTCTACTAGCATCAATATCTAGTAGATATTTAATAGTTTAATATATTCCGTACTTAGTAACAGAAAGACTATAATTACACAAATATATAGCCCCTAAATATTAGACTACCAGCTATTTCTTCCTATTAAATAGGGTGGTTAATTCATCAATGACATACAAGCCGCCCCTAACACTCTGGGCCTCCAGTGACATTAGGATACTGCAGTGGAACTATCCAATGATGAACTCGGGAGTTTGCTAATAGTATAACTTAAAGCAAGGATGACTCTAGGGCTGTCTGGAAAAAACAGTTGTACAAATGGCTATACAAATCACCAATAAAATTCATAACTGAATGGGCCACTGCATCGCCACATCAACTCGCATATGGCCGCAGGCTAAGTGCTTTGCTGTCCCAGCACCTTGGCTCCATGGGTTGCTAACAAAGATGCGATGGCCTACGCACTGGAAAGAGGCGGTGGGATGATATGTCAATGATAGAGAGAATTTATTAATCAGGAGAAGATTTTTATTCCCTTGTATTTGGAGTTATGCAGTGGCTATATCTTCCCCTTCCCCCCCTGAAAGCTTACCCTCCGCCCGCCACAAAAAGAACTATTATCTTCAGGATTTCAACTTGCTATTAAGGGGCCACACCCTGTCCTACTACACCTGGTTCTTTGCTTTGATGGAACAGGAAACACCTTCCAGGCAGATGGCAGCGAAGCCAACATTTTAAAGATATTTCGAATGCTTGATCGGAGCAAAAGTAATCAAAGTGAGTGATATTTCTTCTCTGTATGACTTGGATCGACAAAGCTAAGAGGACTTATAGTTTCATATTACCAGCGTACAGAATTCCTGAATCATTCAATGTTCCCGTCTTCGAGATAGGATGGCTGCTAATGAAATCAATACGAGCCGGAATTGGCACCGATATCACGCCTAGCTCGCTAGCTACCTCATCCTTGTGTCGCGAACGACCGTGGACAAACAAGACGCTGGACTCGGCACTGAGGGGCTCCTTCAAGCAGCACCTTATCGGCGGATCCCGATTTCTCATGAAACACTTTGAAGTCGAATCGGATGTTTACATCTTCGATTTTTCCCGTGGAGCATACACCGCGACTTTACTCAACGATATGATCGATTATGCTGGCATGATCGGCTCCGACAGCGAAGAGCTCATTCCTTTTATCTAGGAAGCCTTCGCCACCTAGAAATTCAGTGACCAGTCAGAGCACGCGGTACGGAAGACTGCGTTCAAGTTCTTAAAGTTCGCGCGGGAGACGGCTTGTCGCCCTGTCAATAACGTGAGGTTCCTTGGTTTGTTCGACATGGTGAATAGCATTGAAGAAATGAAATCTAGCTCAAGTCTGCTCCCTGGCGCTAAAGTGATTCGACATGCGATCAGCATCGATGAGAGACGTGTTAAATTTCTGCCGGTTCTGCTTGGACTGACTTTAGATCGAGAGAGTGATAAAGATTCAATACATAGGCCCGGTGTTCCCCAACGGAGGAGAAAGTCATCTTTGGCGGTTCAAATGCCTACATTGTCGGAGAATAGCTCTACCAGCTCAAACGATCTTCGCTCGACTCAAAATTCAGACGACGACAGCGACACCGCTGAATTTTACCAAGACGTTCAGGAGGTTTGGTTTCCTGGCTGCCATTCCGACATCGGGGGAGGATGGAAACGATCACGGGGCGAGCGATGGCGCCTCAGCCATGGACCTTTGGTTTGGATGGTTCAGGAGGCCGAGCGTGCCTGCTTGCAACTCGACTCTCGCAAGATGAAGAAATCAGAATGTACTGAGAAGTTTGACGAGAATTTTTCTCTCTACGATGATTCCGACCATGATACCAACCATCCGAGCGTGCCAGTCAACCAGCGACATTCCTCCCAACAGCCGGCGTCTGCGTCCAGCACCGCCTTCCATGAAGCCCTTCGTTTTTCGGCCGCTCACGGCATCATACATGATCGCCTGGATTCCCGACACGGCTTCTCGTTCTCATCGGTGCTATCCTGGCGTTTGATGGAGTATCTGCGTCTGTCGTGGATGGCGTTGCAACCTAATAGCTCGTGGAAAAAGGTCAATTGGCTTCACCGTGGTGCAGCGCGGGATATTACTACGGAGTCTCAGATCCATCCTTCTGCCATTCAGCGCATGGCGTCAGATCCTACGTATCGTCCGGAGAACTTGATCTTAGACCGAGGCAGAAAACGCAAGAAGGAAATGGCAGAAAATGCAAGAAGGAAATGTGAGAAGAAATTAGTGTTCAGGAATGGGCGGTCTGTCAAAATAAGGATGACCCCGTACGAAAGGCATATTTCCATAGTAGCTATAGATAGATGGTACAATCATGCGAATGGCTAGGACATAAATCAAGGTAGGACGCGTTGATTGATAGATAGAAGGGAGGACTATGAGACGCTGACCTATAGGGTGTAATAAACATCATCCGACTTGAAAATTCTACTATAAATCATAGTTTCAAAGTTATTCAGTCTCTACCTTGAATGACTTGTATTAACACTAATCATAAGAAAGTAACTTTTTCTATGAAAAACACAGATTTAAGAACATAGCCAGCTGAGATTAAGGTTTTGGCCGGGCCCTGTTGCCTGCAAAGGGGGGCAGTGTTGAATCCTGATCTCATCGAGCCAGAGGGATCGGAGCCGGGCTCAGGGTCAGGGTGGGAGGACGAGGCACCCTGAAAATGTGGACAAAGGCCTTGAAGGTATACTGACCACTGGCAAGGAATAAGTACAGTAATGGACACCTGGGCCGCACCCTATCCCATACGAACAGGGTGTGTGGCTGCTGGGCTCCCGAAACAACCGAAGGAGGAATGGTCTGGTAGGGGCTCGATTCTATGTGCACGGTGCCTGGTGGCGAACAGCACCTCCTCCGCAGCGGTCCTTTATATAGGTTATAACCACAGATTCAACATAGGGTCTACCGAGATTAAAAGAAATCTTCACTATAGTTTCAAGTACATAGATCGTCGAGTGGCCCAGTGGTCTTCACCCTGGCTGACACTAAAGACATTTCTCTCCAAATCCTAACAATGCTTTCTAATTATAGCTATTCTGGGCATTCAACCATAGAGAGATCATTTGACATGTTTGCTCAAGTTCCTCACCCAACCGCTTCTGCCACACATCAAGCTCATAGTCAAGACATTGTCATACAGGATGTCAAGGTGAGGATTAGGACCTTAAAACAAGATCAAATTGTTGTTTCATTCAACTGAAAAGAGTTATAATTAGAGAGCTATTGCCGAATTGCCTATTCCTCTAGCCATGTAAAATGTCTCTTCATCTCCCTTTCAACCGTTTCCGGAATGTCTGTGCCCGGAAGGTCACTCCTCACATCAAATCCTCGTCTTTCTAGGAGCCAGCAAAGGTGTTTGTAGCTACTCCGTCGATTGTTGGCCTTGAAATAGGGTAGCAAACCTGGAACTGGGCCTGTGGGTACCATAGAATCTTGTTCGTATATAGTCTCCACTGACAGCAACTTCCATATACCACCTTGGAGGCGTTCAACTCTAGAGACTAACCGAACCTGTGATGTAAAGTCGTACTCTCCCTCCTCTTCTGGTAGTCTGAGTTGAATACTGCATTTGGACTCAACCACTGACTTGTCTCCGCGGATATGTATCACCGCGGGCATTATGGCATGAAATGGGTTTTCGCCCCAGTCTGATAGCTGTTTGGCAGCACCAATAAAGTCATCAATACTGTCATCGATCCTATTCTTGGTCAGATATTGACACCGCATCAAACTTGGAGATTTACCAGGTGACAGCCACTCGGGTTTGGGAGGCTTCCGGATGGTAGCATGCACGTAGCTTCTCCCACTGCCAAGTATCTCGATAATAGCGCTCCTGTACAATCAACTCTCGAATGTCCTCCTTGTCAAGTCGACTGCGAAGATTGAGGTCCATGGTGCAGATTAACAGTATGCTAGTTAGGATTGTGGAAAGTCTCGATGACCAGTTTGGATAGATAGGTTCGAGGGAGACTTTCTCGGTGTGACAGCTAAGAGATAGGACAACACAGACATATTATGACTGGGGCATACCTCGTATTTATCGCTTACTCTCGCGAGTGTGGGCATATTACGTGCTACGTTGGTGGCCTCGAACTCAATTTGATCCGGAGAACAAGGTTCCTTTGTTTGACAATGGTGGTACATGGTTGCAAATTATATGGTCATTGACAGATTCTGGCACAGTTACAGTATCTTACCGTGATGTCCTATTCTCCCATTCTCCCATTCTGTTTATCTATTATCATTTAATATAACTTTATAGTTATATTTTACGTCATTCATGTTCACTACTGTACAGCAAACAGATAGCTGCATTGTTCTATTTAGGATCACTTCCCCAGATGGAAGCTTTATGCATCAATCAAGGAAAGCCATTTTTCTACGTTCCACTTTCGATTTAAAGGTCCACGGGATCGGCGGCAAAATAAATCGATGGACTATCAACAGGTCATTAAAAACAAGTTTACATTCTCCGAAGCTTCATAAATAACTTGGACTGTTGGACAGAAAATGAAAAGGCCGGCTTGCATGTTTGAAATTGGCAGCACGATAAACCTATCCACTCGCCTCTGTGAGACTATTTCAAAAAGTCGAATATCTCCATGAAATGATTCTTTCTGAGCTCTGGTGGCTCTTTCCGTAGCCCCATCAGCTTATATACTGCCATCTGAGCACTGCGGACTGTATAGTCCATGGCAAAAGTTGTATCGCACGGCAATTCAGTGAACTGACCAACAGCCGCAAAGTTCATTGTCTTGTCGGGTATTACCTGGGGTCGGTCGCCTGGTGACCGGGTTACCATGGACGATGTTGCGTATGGTATAATACATGGGATGACAATGGCATTCGAGAGGATTGGCTCGTGCGAGAACTGAAGATGTGATAAAAGCTCAAACATGATATCCTCTCCACTGCATGCTGTCATGGGCTTCCGGATATAGTCGCCTTCTCGTTCTGATGTGAGGCCATATCCCCAGACAACTTGAACATTATCAGGCTGGCCTGGAAATACCGGCTGCCGCGGGACATTTAATGTTAGCTTCCAGCTGCTCCCAGCAAGAGCCATCAATGCTCCATCTCCTGGTTGATTGTTGGTTAAATGGGTATATAGCTCTAAGAATAAGGGGTCTTTTAAGGTGATAGTGAACGTAACAAGTCTTGTCTCGGAAAGGCGGGAGTGGAAGTTCAGGGGGTTTCCAAATTGGCGACCTTGCTGTGAGATTCCATCCCACAAAGCCCATGGGCCTTCGTCGAGTTTTCCTTTCGGAATAACAGGAGAATGTGCAGGAGCCGTTATATTTGAGCCCAACACCGCCTTCGATCGGGACGGTCCAATGTTGGCAATGACACGGTCCCTTGGATATAGAGTCATTGTGTTCGTTTCTCCGTGGTCCTCGGAACGCAGTGTCAAAGATGATGGTATGAGATGACCGTTTTCGTCAGTACGAAAGGACACGCCACTTCCGGTAGACTGGATAAATTGGACACCTTCCACTCTGAGGTGTTCCACGATTGGGAATATGATAGATTCCTGGAAGGTATACTGCACTTGCCCAAATATAGGTGCAGTGTTTAGTTGCTGGACATCTTGCAAGTATTTTAAAAGATGTCTCCTGAACTCAGAAGCGCTATGCCATGACTGCATTGCAAATCTAGGTTCCAGAGACTAGTCAGCAATAGTTTGCAAGATACTTCAGGAAACTCACGTAGTTGACCAGAGTACCCAGAATTTCGAGTCAAAGAACTCAGTGTCGAATACTTGTCTGATACTCTTATCGCCCAGACTTTCCTCACTTTCCATCATGACTCTTGCGACATCCAGTCGATCTTTCAGGCGCATGGCCCATTTTCTGGTATCCAACGGCTTAGGGCCTGACTTGTCCGGACCAACGACTCGAGTCCATGCATCTGGATGTGACGGGCATTCTCTCTTGTCTTCTTTGAGTATATCGAACAAGGTCTCGCCAGGGTGCGAAGGGCGAGGCACAAATGAAAGTAGATTTTTCACACACGGTTCCTGAAAGCATGGTTGCAGCCCTGCGTGAATAGTGTAGCCAAACTGAGCGTTACCGTACGTACTACTACTGTGGGTAAATTCTTCTTCTGATTCCACAATAAAAATATGCGAGCCTGGAACCTCCGCTTCGTGAATTAAGTGAACTGCAGCTGCTAAGCAGCCCATTCCCCCTCCAAGTAGCCAGAAATTCAGCCCCACAGGATCCTGCGGCTTCCCTGGAATCGGTGACTGGGATGACATTGCCAGGTTCGTCAATGGAGAAGCGAGAGTTGATCGCTAACCTTGAACAATGATCGAATTGATTCTGAATGTAGGCAGCCCCAAGAGAAGAATATCGCGAAAGGTGCATATCATATAGCATATCACCTCACGCTTTTGGAAACGCAGACTCGCATTGACTAGATCTATGGGTCATTAGGATTCTCTTTTGTCAAGGAAGGCTACCCCAAACCATACGTGTGTTACGGTGCCGAAGACCCCATCCCTGTGTTGATGATGTACATAGTTACTCAAGCTGATCATGAGATATGTTCTCAATACGAGCTTTAGAGTTTGAACATCCGTCGGGGGAGAGGTGGCATTCCATGGTTCACTCAGTCTCGACCCCCGACCGCCAACGGAGCGGAATTACCTACTGTACATCGCTACGGAATGACATCATCGGAAACAACTGTTGCAAGGGATTATTACCCTTGATACCGAAATATTCTTATACTGGGAGGTGTGTCAATAGAACTGTGAATTGGTCGTTAAACAGATTTCCCCGGCGCTAGTTGTTATCGACAATATGACACTGCCGATTTAAAAGACTGGGCCTCAATGTGTAGCTACAAGCATTCGTATTGCCCAACAACTCAGCCCTTGACATTCCGATCATTGTAAATTGAGAATACTCCATAGCCATCAATGTTGCCAATACCCAAATGCACAGCAGCCCGGGTGCCCAAGGATAGCAGTCTTGGTCAGACATTCGTCTGTGTAGTTTCAGGTTGTACTACGGGTTGTCTAAATTCAACGGCCTTTAGCACTGTTTCAAAAGTTGCCAGGTGTTGATAGAATGTTATTAGATGAGGAATGATTACCTTTTGGAACGGCTCATCTTCCGCAGACTTCTCTTGGTTCTTCCGCTCTGATCACCACCACCTTTAGGATATTCCAATACCACGTAAAGGCCCTATTTCTTTCATTAATGTCACAACTACAAGGAAGGAAGATGTGGGTGTCTCACAAGGATCGCACTTAGGAGACTTAGGATACCAGCTATGAAGGCAAATGCCAAGTTTGTGCGCCATCGCGGGCAATAGGTGGTGTTGACGAGAACCGCATTTGCTTCATTCAGCGGAAGGACATGGTACCATTCTCCCCAGTAGTAGCCCCAGTCATGCCAGATCCAGTAAGAATCACATCCGTGGGACGCCGTCAGCTACAAGACAAGAATCAGTTAGCCATGTAAAGGCAGACACGAAAATATTTCAAGGCGTAGGGCGCTTACATTGGCCATCAATCCAAAGGCGACCATCCAACATATGAACATGACAAAATCCAGCACGAAGAAATAGAAAGTCGCGTGGAATGGGATCAATAATAGGATAGAGTATAGAAGAGTGATGCACGCAATCACTAGGGAGTATATAATTCGGCCCGAATGGGGTCCATTGGCTCGATCGACAAGTTGTAAATAGCGAGATATGATGCCTGTAACGATAGCCGCACTAATCAATTCCCCAACCCGAAGGATGGGTGAGAACACTTCGTGCCCGCGGACAATCATTGTTTATGTGTAGGGATATGTGTAAAATATTTGATTTCACGAGGCTATAGTTCAATATGATGCTTCTCGCTCGGACGAGTCATCTAGGTGGTATTTATCCGAGCAGGACCAAGCTTCCCATGCTTGTACCGTACCACTCAAGCTTCGTTTGAGTATGAGGATCTTAATCACATGTTCCATAGCGATCTTTTGTGCTAGTTCAGAATTCAACAAGAAAGGTTTTCTCGTGTTCTGAACTTTGTAACACGCCCTGCCGTCTGTTGCATGCGCTGCTGTCATTAGTTGCCGAATTCTTTGTTCCACTTACAAGCCATGAGATGCTCGAGGACGAAAGATTGAATGGGTACAGATAGTCCACGTCTTTTAATCGGATACGAAACTCGTGGTGCCAATCCATGTCAGAAAGGACTTTTCTGACACTTCTACCTGGGCCTAGGGTAAACTGTCGACTGCATCAAGTCTGATCGGCTTTGACCTTCGCGTAAATCTCCTCTATTAATTTCAAGATTGTTCATAGTGACCACGTATGGAGGTCAGGGATTTAGAAGTACAAAACAGAAGGACCAAAGAGCTTCGGTGTTACCATAGCCAAAGGCCTCCCGTATCTTTGCTCGCGATTGGATTTCGCTTCCTTTTCCCGTTCAAGTCCTTGAAGACCCAACTCTAGGTTTTCGTTCCCGAAAAAGAGCCATGCAAGTTAGAACCCAAACGGACTGCAACTTAGTTCTTTGTTGTGGTTCTTTTCATTCTTGACGAAGTTTGCGCTGAGCACTATGAGGGACACCAGCACAAATGCAAGAAACGACTACTGTCTAACGTAGCAGTTATGGGTTCGCATTTCAGAAAGTTTTCAGGCAGACTTCGGGACCTATCCTGAGGCTTGCTGATTGGTTGGTCTTTGGTTGTTAGTTTGTTTGTTTGCTATTTGTTTTCTCTACGTTGTATCCGCCGCGCCCAACATGCCTGTTCCCCATCCATTGAGCAGTACAAGGTCCCCCGGAAAACGATCGGAAGCAACATTGGCGATCGATCATTCTCGTTGGATTTTACCCTTTTGCTGATCGCTGGACCGAAGATGAATAACTGCGTGTCGAATGGGAACCCACATCGATGTGGATAGTGAATGGATCTACTCCGTACGTAGATCAGGGCCCACCTCAACATACGTAATACTATCAAATCTCAACTTGTATCTTTAACCATTGGTCGATCTCAGAAATATGAAATTCTAAATAGTGTGCTGGGAAATCTGACATGCATGTTCAGCTGGGAGCATGACTAATGAACGGGTTTCCGGTCCCTCCGGACATACATAGCAAGCTGCGGTCCTATTTCGCTGTAGGAGGACCGGCGATGGACCAGGTATGTAGCGATTTGACATGAAGATATATTTTACTTGTTGTCCTCCACCTTGTTCAATCAAACCAATCCACTGAGCAAGTTTCTCATTGCAAATTATGTTGACGAAAAAATGTTTGGCGCACCCGAGGGTCTTGTCTGGATGACCAAAGGTGCCGTTGGCGCATGGTACCAAGACGAAAGCATCTCTCCGGGAGTTGATCGACAGCAACTAAAAAAGGAGCAGGAGCAGCTCTTTTACCAGAAATCCTCCCTCGATCTCGCCGCGAAAGGGAAGCGGACGAGCCCGCCGGCGAAGAAGCATCCTCGTACCGAGTATGCTGTCGGCGGTGCCACCGCAAGCTACGACAAGATCAGTCATGTACGGAAAGAACGCGCATGAAATCTCCAGGACTCACGTCCTCCATCAGGACGGCGAGCTCTTTGACAAGCAGGGTATCGAGGCGTACTTGGTAAATGTGCCCCTGCCGGAGCCCGAGGGGCGCTTCGTGTGGATCGATCTCACCTAGGGGGTGCGCGTGGTGTACTTCCCCTTTTGCTGCGACATGCCCTGACCCTACGACCGGTACGTACAACTTCTCCGGCTGGGTTTCAAGCATCGCTATATCCGGCTGCCGTTCGCGCGGCCGTTTGACTCCCTACTGGTTCCGCAACCGGAGCGAGATCTCCTCCCGGCGCAGGTGGAAAAGGCTGGGTTGGAGATTATGCCCGAGCGCAGCATAATCGACGGAGTGCTACACCCAGTGCTTCAAAATACCACACGATTCAAGAAAAAGATTCACGGGAAGAAAGGAAAGAATACGGACGGGGAGGCGTCTGAGGAGCGGCTTTTTGAGCACGCTACCACAAACCCTGCGACAAAGCAGGCTAAACAAGCCCTTGCCAAGTGGCTTCACGACTGCAGTGGGAAGGATTCAAAAGAGGAGCTGGAACGGGCAAAGCAGCTGGACGCTGTCGCGCAGAAGCACAGGATCGATCGCAATCCGAAATCCTACCCGGCTGATATTGACCGCGATGATCTGGCTCGGGATGCTACACATCCCTTTCCGCAAGCGCTGAAGGGATGGTTAATGAAATCCAAGAAGGCCAACGCTACAGTGCTCAACGACCTGGTGGTGGATGGATGGGTGGCCAAGATACTCTTGAAACCAGCATTCAGGGAGATGACAATCAAGAAGATGGTTGAACAGTCCGCGTCGGAGAGGGAGGAGTTCATCACTCCCCTCGTAAAGAGCTCGCAGACGCATACAGATTGCAATACTCGCTCGCCTACACGTCAGGTGAACTGGGAAACCTCGAGCGTAACGAAGAGGATCGCTTCCCTGGGCAGATGGCGAAGCTCCGGCAGATGCTCTACCCCGATCGGAAAAAGGCTCTGGAGACAACGGACGAGTTTCTAGGGATGCCCTTGTTTACCCCGTGGACGCACGAGGACAGACTCACGTTACTGTCATCGCCTGGAGGTCAACCAGATTGCGAACTCTGGGGACACTTCGACTTCACCGCCGAGCCGGAGCTGGGCCTAGGTATGAAACAGCCAGAGGTAACAATCCGAATCGATGTCCGAGAGTTGATGTGTTGCCTCGCTCTTCCGCAGGAGTTGGCCAGGAGAGCCGGTGACAAAGAAGTGGGCTTTCCGAATGTCTCGGGGGGCGACAGCGTGCCTGCAGGGCTTCCCATTGACTTCTACAGCAGGAACCTCGTTCTAGCCTTTGCAGCGCATTCACGACCAAGGTCACTGTTGTGAAATGCACAGGGGAAGAAGGGCAGAATGACACTGTATCAGCTATACGCACGTAGCCTACTAAGGAGCGAATGCCTTTTGCATGATAGGGCTTTTAATTCTCTTTCATTGCGATTGATCTCTTCTCTCTATCATGGATAAAGGGGTAAGTTCCTCAGGGGTTCGAGTGTGCGGGCCAAGCCGCTAGATCACGTAATCCCATGGATTCGTATCAGTCACCGCCAGCTCCATCACCTACCCGGGCATCATCCAGAGCCAGCTCGGCCTGACAATGACCTACCTCCCGGCTCCAACGCCGCTGGAGAAGCAAATTGCCTTATTTATGGTACAGATTTTGTCAGTGGCTGCGGACCTGATCCCGGTCGTTGGGCCGCTCGTCGGCTTCGCCATTTACATTGGTGGGAATACCATCATTGATGCCGCTTGGATCAACCAGTTTGAGGACTCGACGCCTCCGGTTTTTGCGTTGCTGTACTCTCAGAAAGGCAACATTACAAAGCATACATTGCGCAAGGGCTAAAAAGTCAAATTCTCGCTCAAGTAGCCACGTCGCTCCCTTATCATCACTTGGTGCGGGGTTGTCGTCTGTGCATCTTGTTAATAAACACAGTGCACGTCCTCGAGGACAGGCATAGAATTCACTTATTGCACAGGGCATGGTACTCCCAATAGGATTATAATGCTCGATCATCTTCATGTGGGATCCTTGCACGGTGTGCCGAGTAGTTGTGGTGGGTGATGCATGAGCTGGCAGCCAAGCAACCCCTCATCGTACAAAGTCTACGCAAATCCCCACTTTCTCTTTTGAAGATTAAAACCTGCCAAGAGCACTTCAATCTCATGCACCAGCAATTGCAAGCGAGTCTTGAATACCGACTTACCACTTCCTTCACTGTGAAACACTCGAAGGCTATGTCGACCACCACAATCACCTCCACGCAACATGACCGTGCTCGGGTCCTTTCGGTCAGCAGATCGTCATCTCACACTGTATCGAAATCTCCTGCCCCTTTCATCACGTTGGTGGCCGGACTAGGGGTTCAGGGAGACTGTCATTCGGGGAGAAGTGTACAACATCAATCACTTCTTCATGCCAACCCCGGAGCAATCAATTTACGCCAGATCCACCTCGTTTCGACCGAGAGTCTCCGACACGTTTCTGCTAGATTAACCAGCTCAAAGCCTCTATCAGCGGGTGAGATTGGGGAGAACGTGACGACCGAGGGAATTGATTTGCCAACCCTCCCCCGAGGAACTGAACTACACTTTGTTGACGATAATGAGTCTGGCGATCGAGCGATCATTGTGCTCACAGGCCTTCGCAATCCGGGTCCGGGTATTAACAAATGCCGACCTGGACTGCAAGCTCTTTTCGCCGTTCGCTCCGAAGACCACAAGATGGCCAAGCACCTGGCCGGGGTGATGGCAACGGTGAAAGCAGGAGGGGTGATCAGGCCAGGGATGACTATCAAGATCGTTCGACCATCGGAAGCTAGACCCCTTGCTATTATTTAAGAAATAGTGGTCACAAGGAATGTATGCAACTCAATGTCTTGCAGTCCTAGCTGGATATTTATAGGTTTTTTTCAATCTGCAATGAAGTGCAAAATATCTGGAGCCAGCCTTCATTCACTGAGTACATACTAGCAGGGAGTGACGCATATGCTGTAAGGCTGCAATACAGAGCAGTGCTTAGCAAGTTTGAATTCAGATGAGCTCCTCTGTGGCCTATCTTGCTCCAACGCGCAATCGGCGATGAATGCGATAAACAGGTTTGGAGATCGGAAGACTGCACCTACCATAAAACGCGTAATTCACAGCTAACTACATCACCATACAATCTTTGGTCATGGCCTGACTCCTTCATGATAACATCCCATAGGAAGGCAGTTCACATAAAACAGATAATCAATACTGCATTTTGTAACTCTACTAACTTGTCGGTGATTCTTCGAGCAGCCTGTGATACCAATATCCTGGAAAGGATGGTCAATCTGTGTTTTTTGTTGTGTCCGTGGCTGCCAATTATTCCCTCCCAGTCTATGTACATATACCAATGTCCTGCAGGATAAGCGAACCGGCTAACTTCGGGTCCGACAGTCGATGCATTCTAACAGAAGCTAATACCCATTGGCATCTGAGCAACGGATAGAGCCAATGGTATCCGCTGGAAGTGGGCGGTAATGGCCAGATTCCTTCGGGCGAATGGCGTTCTTGTGGTCTATTGTGGCGCATTGCAAACTTCATCATTGGCGCCCCGAAATTCCGTGGCACCCCGGAAGCGAAGATATGCTGATATTACGAAATCCACGCGTCACTACATCTTAACAGATACATGCCAGCAGATGAAATGCAACACTGACCAGCCTTTGTTTCTGTTTGCACTACTCTTTGACCCAAGCAAGTAAGATTACCCGGTGAACGCAGTGTTTCTGGGCCTTTGTGACAAACTCGATTCCGAGGTTACATGCTTATAAGTCATTCAGAGCGCTGGGAAGAAGGAAACAAGATCATTTCCTACCACCATCTCTACTCTCTTGTCCTGACAGAGTCACAAAGGAATCTTCATCAGTTCTCTAGGCTCCTTTCTCAAATGGAAGCCCTACCCGCTCAGATGGACACTACAAACCGCCCCGATGAGTGGAAGATAGAACAAGGTCTAGCCGGCCATAAATTGCCCATTCTTGATCAAAGTGGCAGTGATACTATTCACATATACCCCCCACAGGACGGGCATCGTATGAAGGACGAAGAAGCCATCGCGGCTGTGGGTAATCGTGATGAAAGCTTCAGGAGAGAAAAGGAGGGCTGGAAAGGGTGGGTAAATCATGAAATATTTGATAGCGCTCATTATAATTATCTAACACCTTGAATTACTGCAGTTACGTTGAATGGGAGAGGTACCCAGAGAAGAAAGCCAAGGCGCGTAAGATTCTGGCTTCGCAGACGTTCGATCCCTGTCCAGACTTTATGTTTGGGCCGATCCCCGGCACCAACCCCGTGCTTCCTGGCAACGACTTCAAGGAGTGGCATTGGGCAATAGGTGGCGAACTCTCCAGTGTTCCGGATGACTCCTGGCGGATTGTCCTGCGTGAAAAGCACCCGGATATGCTTCACCTGCTACAGTTTCCCTACAATGGTGAACCTCCGAAACGGCTGGTAACCTCCAAGGTTGTAACTCCGAATCCTCTTCACTTCGTGCGAAACCATGGTGGTATTCCAATAATTGACCAGAGCAAATGGAGTATCTCACTAGATGGCTTGGTCAACCGGCCCCAGACTTACAGCTTGGATGACCTGCAGCATGGTACAAGGTTTCCGCAGATCGAGAAAACCGTGACCATTCAATGCTCAGGAACACGCCGCATCGAACAGATCAGCCGCTACGGTGGGCAAGGGGATGAGGTTCCCCAGGCACCGTGGGCTGAGGGGGCCATTGGCACAGCTCGATACCGGGGGATCAGCTTAAAGAGACTTATTAAAGATTGTGGAGGCCTTATTGCCCCGGCCAAGCATCTGGAGTTGTATGGCGCAGAGACATATGTCAAGGACTTGGAAGTGATGAACTACGTCGTGAGTGTCCCGTGGTCTAAGGTCAAGGCAAATGAGGTTATCCTAGCCTGGGAGATGAATGGCGAGCCGTTACCCAAAATCCATGGTTATCCTGTTCGCATCGTTGTCCTGGGATATATCGGTGCACGCAGCGTGAAATGGCTATACCGGATCAAGGCTATTGAAAGTCCTTCGATTGCCCCTGTCCAAAGCAAAGAGTATCTTTACTTTAACCAGCAAGTGGGCAAATATAACCTCCGACCTACCGATGGGATTCAGATTCAGGAGATGCCCGTTAGCTCGGCCATCATGTCCCCGTGGGCTAAGCAGGCTATTATCCACACCGGGAAGATCCGATGCAAAGGATGGGCCTACTCTGGGGGTGGCCGATGGCCTGAACGTGTGGAGCTCTCAGCGGATGGCGGATTTACCTGGTATCCAGTACCCCCGGAGAAGTTATCCAAGAAGGGCCGTTGGGTCTGGCGTACGTGGGAGCTAGACCTGCCCTGCGACGTGGAAGGCTGGATAGAGATCGTCTGCCGTTGCTGGGACAACGCAATCAATACACAGCCATTGGATGTACGCGCGTCGTGGAACTGGGGACTCCACGTTACTCAATCGGCGCATCGGATCAGCATCTACAGCATCAACAAGAGCCGCCCAATTACGCGCGATCGCCTGGATAAAATGGAACAGCTCGGAATCCCTCTTGCCCCCCTCACCCGCTACGAAATTGTTCCCAGTCAAACCATGGAGGAATATAATCAGTACTGGAAGGAACACGAGCCCCGGGATGTCGATGATTGAAGATAGTCTCGGTATATTTGTACTTAATTGACCTACAGCATTGCCAACAGCTGTCGACCTGCTGCGCTGAATCAAGAAATCTCGAGGCAACAGAAAGAGAGCTCGTCTGTTCATCCTATACGACCACCTTTGTGCGCTTCCGTTACCTCCGTGCTTGTCCTTTGGATGTCAATCTGAGCTAAGCCAAAGGAGATTTTTATTCCCCTACCGAAGCAGGGCAGTAAGCAAATTTGCGGCCAATGTGCTTGACGTAGCTGGTCCTGTAGAATACAAATAGTAGCGCGTTATATGTTGTGTCTCACTCTTGCCACAGTGATAAAACTAGCAATGCGATCATCGAGAATCCCATGCGGTTTTATGCCTATCGATTACACGCATGTTATTCCTCACCCTGGCCAACGCCGGTCAAAAAGTCGTTTAAAAAGGTTAAGTCTACATCTTGCCACGAGGTTTCCTCAAAGCCACTCGTCTCCTCGGGATCAGGTATTTGCAGCGATTCAGCAGAAAAGACTTCGGGGAACAGTGGCGCAAAGGTAGTTATGCCGTTGACACTACTCGGCCATAGCGATGAGGCTGGAAGTCCTGGGGTGACCGAATGTGACATCGCTCCTTCATTCAATACCGGTCGTATCCCTTCCGCAGGCTGCTGGCCTCCACTATTTTCTGGGCTCGTGGCTCGCGCTGTGGTGTCCTGATCGCATGACTGGGCTTCAACGACGGCTTTAACCACGCCAAAGTACGGGATATACACACTTTTATCGCCGCTAGCAGACTCATCGACCGGCGCGAGATCGGTGTCTGGCGCCTGAACACTGACACTATGGGCGCTCCGGGGGTTTCCTTCGGCCGCTTGTGTGTCGATCGCTAGCAAGCGGCGAAGTAAGGCCGCACTCCTGGCGTTCAGAGGATCTCTGCTTATGCGGTTCAGGTCCTCCATATTGTCTTGTGCCTGTTCAATTATGGCGCGGTCGCCTGGGTATTGGATATTCAGAAAATTACCCTTTTCTGGAGAGCGACGACTGGCGAGATGCGCCAGCAGCAGGGTGATGGCGGCCATTACAGCGGTGAAGTCCATAGTCCGACAGCTGAAGGCGCCACGGTTCCAGCGGTGTAGCATAATGAAACGAGACAAGACCTCTCGCGAGGCATTCACGCATACGATCCTCGAGTGCTCATGCTGACATTCGATCGAGCGATGCAGCATGTAGGGAAGATGAAGCTGGTTAAGCAGGTTATAGTGACACAATTGCTCCGACAGGCGGCGCATTTCCCAGAATAATTCTTGGGGGTCATTCTTTTCACTGCGAAGGTGGGGCATCAGCCACCATCGACTGGGCATCCCCTGTGCGGCACTTCGCAGATCTTGCTCGAGCGCCTGTGTCAGCGCGTAGTCCCAACACCCAAAGCTCGACTCATTACGTTCCAGAACCCGGGAGGCAATCACACAGTGGAGGCGCTCGAGGCGGCCTCCCGGTGACTCGCCGGCAAGAGTCGCCTCGTCCGCCATACTCCGATCAAGCGTTCCCTGCGGCAGACCTAGAAGCAGGCACATTTGGCGATCATAGAAAACGATACGAAACCACAGGAAGTGCGGATCCGTCTTGGTGTCCGGGGTCAGAGTTTTGTACTGCAAGCAGCCGGTCGGTCGGGGCAAGCCCATCCCTTGCGCAATCACCATGGCTCTTCGGGCGGTCATCCAGCTGCATCGCAGCAAGCCGCAATTCGCCTGGTATTGGCTCTCGATCATGACACACTCGAGAAATTCTACACAGTCAACGAAACGGTCGCTACTCGTCACCAGACTGGAGACCAGTTCCACTAAGCGCTCCTTCATGAGTTTGGGCGGTTCCGAGAGACCACTGACTTCCTCGTGGAGGCTGGGGTGAAGATGCTGCAGGAAGCTGGCGAGATAGAGCATATGCCGGGCGAGCAGGACCGGATGGGCATTCGGGCCCGGTATTTCCATCAGGCGGCGTTGGGGTCGGAGGCCATCCTGATCGAGCATCACATACGGTGTAGTCAGGATTTCATGAACTGGCACGGAGTTGTGAGCGCTCGCCTTGGCTATTCGACGAGTGTCGTCCTGCGAGGGTAAGGCCTCCCAGAGAGTGCGTGCCAACCCATCATATTTCCCCTTTTCGAGGCGAATAGTTGCCGCGGATGACGTCCCTGGGGTGTCGTCGCGCAACGGGACGGCCGGCTGATACTCGGGAGACGCAGGCGTAAGGATGCCAGCGTCTGGGGCCCCTACTTGCGTCAGAACGTGGCTCAGCCGTGCCTCCACGCAGCGAAGGCGCTCCCTCAGCCGGTCGTTGCTGTCCAGGGACGGTGCCGACGCTTCCTCCGGGAACTCCTGGCTGACGCATTTCGACCACCGACGGTGACATCCAATGCAGATCGCATCATCCGGGCGCTCGAAGACGCACTTCATCTTCCGCCGCTTGCATTCCCAGCAGCTGCGAGTTCCCCGGCGCACTTTCCTGCGTTTCACGTTAGGCGCCTCGGACGAGTCGTCCGGGTCATCGGCGGGCTTGCGGCGCGTTACAGCGTCCATGACGACCTGAAATAATGCAGAACCGGTCCGGTGGGGAGATACTTCTTCTCGTCAGGAAATTAAGAAATTAAGAAATTCAGGAGATGAGCGGGGAAGAGGCGGTTCGACCGTAAGCCCGGCGGACCAAACCACGTCTTTGTCAGCCGGTCCACTTGCCCTAATTTTCGTCCGCCGTCATGCGGACCATCGCGAGGATGCTATATAGTGTACTATATAGTGCCTGACGCTGCCCTCCCTTGGCAGATTGTCTCCTTCGGCATATCATCCAGCAATAGTGAGAACATGCCGCAGTCCACATCCGACTCGCAATCGACCACGGCCCAAGAAGGTCGCTCGACGGGCACGACCAGCAACGAAGCGCCTTTACCTCTGTCGAGTGATCTCCTCGAGAAGAGTCCGAATGATAATGAGGGCGCCTCTCATTCCAGCGACAGGGGCGATCCAAAGCTCCAATATGCGACCCCTTTCCGCCTAGTGATCATCATGTTTACTTTGAGTTTGAGCACTTTGATCGCCGCCTTGGATCTCGTGAGTTCAATCGGAGCTAGGTGCTTCAACAGCATTAATAATTCTTATTTCGTCTACAGGGTATTGTCGCCACAGCCATTCCTCAAATCACCAGTGATTTTCACGCGCTGGACCATATCGGTTGGTACAGTGGCGCATGTTTTCTTCTCGTCGGCACCACCTCCGCCCCATGGGGCAAGATGTACAAATACTTCTCGGTGCAGTACATATACATGACGGCTCTTGCTCTGTATCTGGTTGGAAGCATTGTGGCTGCGGCGGCGCCGAATAGCATCGCCTTGATCATTGGCCGAGCAATACAAGGCTGGGGGTGTGCCGGCACCCTTGGAGGCTCTGTGATCATTATCAACTTCACGACAGAGCCCAAGGCGCGTCCCATGCTTATCGGTCTATGGATGGGCATCTTCATGATTGCCACCACCATTGGGCCTCTCATGGGCGGGGTTTTCACCACCGAACTCACCTGGCGCTGGTGCTTTTGGATTAACCTGCCGGTGGGTGGCCCGGCCATCGTTTTGCAGTTCCTCTTCCTGCGAATGCCGAAACACATCAGACCGACCCCGGCCACATGGAAAGAAATTCTTTTTCATCTAGATCTCCCCGGCTGCACTCTGTTGCTCACTTCGATTCTCTGCTTCCTCCTAGCCATGGAATGGGGCGGTTTGGGCAAACCGTGGAATAGCGGCTCGGTCATCGCCACTTTGGTCGTTTGGATCATTTTGACAATTGCTTTCTTCATCATCGAGTGGCTCCAGGGCGACTTTGCTATCATGCCCCTCAGAATGCTGAAACCCCGGATCACATGGTCCAACCTTTTGTATGCGTGGATGTGAGTCAAGCTCCACGGTCATTCATCCCGAGGTTTACAAATGGAACGAGCCGGCTAACGTGGATTCCTGAACCAGCGGCAACCTGGCCAATTTCCAGATCCTCTTCTATCTGCCCATCTACTTCCAGTCTATCCACGGAATGTCCGCCATCAAAAGCGGCGTTTATAGTCTTCCGTTCATGGCCTTCTATAGTTTTGGGGCAATGCTCAGCGGTATTCTCGTCGGGAAGACTCGTCTCCTGCAACCGTTCCAGCTTGCCAGTGGTCTGATCGCTATTCTGGGCGCCGCGCTGATCTATTGCATCGAAGTCGATACTTCCAAGTCGTGGTATATCGGTGCGCAGATTCCTTTCGGTTTTGGGATCGGTCTTGGGAACCAGGTCCCCGTCACAGCACTGCAGGGCTTTGCGACGCCAGAAACTGTAGCGGCAACTACGGGCGTAGCGTTCAGTGAGTCAAACTCTCGGACAACAGCACTCTTCGCTACTAATACATTCTGTCAGTGTGTCAAGCCATGAGCGGCGCCTACTTTGTCTCGGCGGGTAATTCCCTGTTCAACAACTACCTGCTGAAACAACTCGCGATAACCGCCCCTCAACTTGATCCGCAGATGATTCTCTACACGGGGGTGTCCGAGCTTCAGAATACCTTTCGAGGTGAAGAGCTAGCCTTGGTGCGAAAGGCATACATGGTTGGGATCAAGAATGTTTTTGCCTTTGCTATGGCCGGTGCAGCATTCACCATTGTATTGGCGATGCTGGTTCCCTTCAAGAAACTGCCTTCTCATGAAGATAAGATGGTCCAAGATAAGGAGGCGGCCGCCCAGGTCAATAAATGACCGCACGCACGGCAGGTCTGCGGGTCTACTTCAAATACACGCATGTTGTGGGTGGCGAAATTGATAACAGCCCATTTCTGCTCCCACTCACATGGTCCACTCACAGGCCCAAACACTTTAGTCCAGAACATGTACACTCAAGCCAACGATATCAAATAAAGAATAGTATATTGCAAGATTCTACGTATTATTTATCTACCTAATGCAAAAACACATGAGAGCAACACAAAAAACGCGTCGAAAATCAAGCCAACAAACAATCAGTGCATCCGTATTACATCGTTTAGAGCAAATCCAAGTCGAAATTAAGAGTTAAGTACCTCGTAATCATTCAGTCAATGAAGTGTCCTTGCGCGTATCTCACTCGGCGCCTGGGATCACCAGAGTGGTTTTCATCGCCTCAGCTCACGGCCTAGTAAAGGGGCTTCCAGGCAACGCGACGGAGGATGGAGGGGGTGGCCGACGGCTGCGCACTGCCGCTCGCCACGGGGCTGCTGGCGGGCTTGGTGTGAATGGGATGGGTGCCATTGCCAGCAGGCTGGGTGTGCGTGAAGGTGGGCTTAGCGGTGGTGGTGGCCGACTGCGAGTCCGACTCGGTGGCCGTCGCCGTCGCAGTGGAGTGACCGGGCTTCTCGCCGGTGGGCTCCGCGGTGGGCTCGCCCGACGGGGGGATGACAATGGTCTTAGTGTGTCCCTCGGTGTTGGTATAGGTGATGGTCTCGCAGCGGGCGCAGGGCTTGCCGGGATGCACGGTGGGCACGGATCCCGAGCCCTCCTTGACGGTCTCGGTCACTGTCACCGTCACAGGAGCCGGGCAGTTCGATCCGCCCGACCCGCCGTGGCCGCCGTGTCCGCCGTGTCCGCCGGGAAGCGCCGTGGGGACGGTGGTATCGGCCGTACCGGGGAGATGGGTGATAGTTGTCAGAGGGGTGGAGTCGAAGGTGGTGGTGAAGCAGGTGGTGGTCTCATACACCGAGGTGGTGAGCCAGGTGCTGTAGTAGGTGGTGCCATCTCCGGTGCTGACGGCGGTCGAGCAGGGCTCGAAGCTGGTCCGGGTGATGGTGGAGGTGATGGTGGACACGGAGCCGGTCTCGGTGACCGTGGATCCGGTGCTATGGGGGTTTCCCGTGGTGGAAGGCAAGTGGGTGGTCACGGTGCCGTTGTGGCTCGGGTTCGGGCTCGGAACCAGGGTAGAGGCAGAGTGGGAGGGCGCAGAGTGGGAGAGAGTCGACTGGGGGACAGAAGGACTCGGGGTTCCGCTGGGAATGGGAGCGGGACTGTGGCGGCCAGGGAGAGCCAAGGCAGAGCCCGCGAGGGATGCCAACAGAGTCATGGCGATGTGGTGCATGGTGAGAGAGGTAATCGTTGGAGTTGGAGATAAAAAAGCGAAGGACGGATTACCGGGGAAATGTAACGATTGACTTGTGGAACGATCAGACTGGATGAGAGATCGAATGGCGAGGAATCATGGGACCTTTTATAAGCGTCCGGCTCTGGCGGCATTCAACCTGTGCTCTCCATTTCTCACTTTGGCTTGCACTCTCGGAGAGCGAGAAAAAAACGAGAATCACAGAGCAAAGAGCATACTCCGGACTTCGAGTGGAACCACCCCGTTCCCCAATCACCACTAGAGCCCGACCGTTCAGGGTCCGCCGCAAGATAGTTCCAGCTTTCGCCAGGCTATTGATAGTAGCGGGAGAAACCCTGCCATCCATCGCTTGACTCAGGGTCCACCCGGGTGAGTCGCGACTAATCCGCTTATCTCCCGTCAACGGGCAGGATGACGGCTGCCATGGCCAACGGACATGAGAGACAGGCGACCTCGAGCCAGGATGCCTGATCCGGGCTGGGGACCACCGAGAATAGATCTGGGTGACAGAATGGATCATAAAAATAGCTCGCCGGTCTACGTGATTCCATGATTCGGGTGGAGCGGACTCCCAATCGGTCGGCAAAGATGGGCGGCGCATGAGCCTCGCACGGAGAACCGGCGAGACATTAACCGGAGGCACCGAGACTTTTCTCTGGGCTTTGCGCCTTTGCTCTCTCCAGGTTGGCGGGTCGTAGGGCGAGATCAGCAGTGACGGCATCCTCGGATTGCGTGACCCACCCCCGTATCCTCTTCCGAGTTCTGGGCTCTAGTCCACGTCGCCGTCTCGCACTCGGGTTTTGCTGCTTGTTCACCATTTCAGCCCGGGCGCATCAACCTCCTCTCCTGTAGGGCCCTGCCGAGCCACCTCCGCCGGCATCTATCAATCACAACGCCGTCTTGCACGCCGTCGTATTCACCACGAACTGGTCGGTCGTGTGTCCGTTGTGGCTGCGCCGGATTTGGGCGTCCATTGTGCAGTGGCCCTCGCGATAAGGCCGACCGAATTGTGGCTGAGACACGATGGGTCCGTTGGATGGCGATTTCCAACGTGATTAGTTCGGTCTCGGGCATGTCTGACTTATCACTGAAAACCTTGAGGAAATAGATTAACTCATCAATTCGGTTGGCAGGAGCAACCCACCTGCGTCTCCAGTCCGGATTAATCGGTTGAAATCTGTCAGAATCGGTTGGATCCGCCGTCTAGAGAAGGGCAAAAGGGCAGAGAAGGAAGCGAAGGAAGGAAAACAACAACAGAAAACAAGAGACGAGAGAAAGACGGATTAGTCATCCGTCGGTCTGCCGCCTTCCCCGTCGAGATTCTCCGGAGTATACTCCTGGGGTTGATTGTTGTTTATTGTGTTTATTCATTTACACAGAGTAGCACTCTTGATCGATCAATCATATGAACAAGTCACTGTTTTACAAATTCTCGAATAGTGGTCTATGTGGTACGCGCTGAGATAGATTTTCCGCTTCACGGCTCCGTTATATATAACCGATATTGGGCCACTTCATCAGGTTGGAGTCGTATCGTATGTGTCTCAGATTGTTCCCTATGACCAGCCATTATTCCTCGTCCAGGGCCTGCTCAGCTACGTCAGCCATAGCTTTTTGGCCTCAGGAATGTCTGCGTAGAGGGGGCTAACCAACGTACATTGCGTCTGGTACGAAGTCGCACTCGTCTCACGCGTTCGGAGGTGTCCTGGCCGCTGGTCATAGCCACGCAATCATCCCGGACAAGTTCCCGTCTGCGCATGAAGAGTCCAGATGAGACTGGGCTAGACAGCATCCGCCGGAAGACGCCTTCACGCCTAGACCCCTGCCGGCGCGTGGGGATGCTGATTCGCGTGCTCCTCCTCGTCTGTCTCACTTGTCTGGTCATCCTCCTCGTCCTCCCATTCCCCATCAATGTCGCCGTCGTGGAAATCAGCCACCATCACCCTTTCCTCGTCGTCATCGGCTTCGTCGTCTTCGCCAAACTCGCCACCGATTATGCTGACCAACTGCAGCAGCCCGGCCTGCGAGCGCCAAAACTCGTCCGCCGGCGGATGCTGTCGCTCGGCATGGAACGACCCGTCGTTCGTCTGCGCGGCGTCCGGTGTCGGATCGCTGGCATCGGTCGCACTCGACCGCTTTTCCGAGAGATCGGGGGCCAAGCTCACGATGCGAATTGCCTTGGTAGGGAAGATGCGGCCGCGGCCTTGGCGATGTTGTGGTTGCACGTTGCCGGGGACGTTGGGCAACGATTGGCGCCAACCCAGCGTCTGCGGATGTGAGTTAAGGATACTTCTTTGATCTTGCATCGGAACGAGAAGAGGGGGGGAGAAAGGCAGTAGGAAAGTACGCACGGTGTAGGTGGCCATGATAGCATCATCATACAAGGCCATAAAACTGACAGGAACTGCCAGTTGGGGCATGGAGCTCGTTAGGAGCGAGTATGACGCGCGGGCCGGTCGATCCACATCCTGTACGCGGTTCTCGTCATCGAGCGCGACGACGTAGATGCGATCCTGGATCTCGAACATGATGCGGTGGTTGCGCACCGATAACCAACCACCCAGGTCGAAGCTGGCGCCGTCCGTCTCGCATTCCAGCAGGGCGCTGTGAGCCGCCAGACTATCGGGACCGACGAGAGCCTTACGCCAGTTCGAGCAGACGAATACTCGCCCGGCACGCGAAAAGCCCACGAACAGATCCCCGTGCAGCATGCCGGCGCCCCATTCGTCCTCGGCGTGCCACACGTGTTCCGGGTCGGCCGGCGGCGAAAGCGGACCCTTGGTCAGTTGGATTGGCACTAGGCAGTCGTTGCGAGGCTCCCAGGGCCGAAACAGCTCATGGGTAGGGCCGTGACGCACGGCAGCCTCCAACGCTGCGCTTGGGGAGGGAGCGGCAGCGGCCGGGGGCCGAATGTGATACTTCTCGGTACAATGCGAAGCATGCAATGCGCCTAGATATTCGCCCGACTTCTTATCGTATGCATGGTATCCCCGCGGGCCCATGGAGTAGATAACAACGTCCGCACTCTGGTCCAAGTGGCCGACGGCGTCATTTTCGATCTGGAGGTGGGTGGTTCGCGTCGGGGGTCGCTGCGTCATATCGTAAACAAAACCCTGTCCCTGGGTGGATACCACGCACAGGGTCCAATGTGATAGCTGAAAGCCTCGGGTCTGGCAATCGTGGTCAAGAATGGCGATGCGACGGAACTCGCCGCGCGCGGCACCCTCTTGGTCCGCCTGCCAGACCTCCACGGCATCCCCTTCGCGATCGAACACGGCCATGCCATCCTGATACTCGAGATGCGCGAAGGGGCGCACGGCGTCCTCGTCACGATCCAGCGTGGAAGGGAGTCGCCAGAGCATGTGACCCGTATCCATGTCGGTAACGCTCAGTCCGCCCGCCTGGGAGGTCGAGATGAAGAAGCGACGCTTGAAGTCGGCCCGGAATCGCCACACAGGATCGTTTCCCACCTGCAGCACTGACTCGCGGCTCACTGGGTGCGATTGAGCCCAATTGCGAGCCAGCAGCGTCTGACGCTTACACAGGTCCTTCCATGACGCCGTCCCTTCGAACAGTTTGGCAAAACTTGTGTTGTCGGACAAAAAGGAGAAATCTCGCACTCCTCCGGCCGGTTGCTTGGTCTTGGATTCGGCGCTATAGATGGCTTCTTGGTGAGTGCCGTCGATGAATTGGTGCCAGGCCTTGGAGACGGTCGTCAGACATGCCAGGGCGGAGATGGGGGTGAAGTCGAGGATGCGGAGGACGATCTCGGGGGGCAGAAGGACGAGGGGGTCTGCCCCGGGCGGAGGGGCAGTCATTGTCTCTCGGGTGACAATGGTCGAGTCGTACGTAGAATCGGTCCAGAGAATGGCAGGAGAGAAAAAAAGGAGCGAGAAAGACTGAAGGAGTATGTGGGGGGGGAGAAAGCAGTCATACTGCCCCGCCTCACCGCCCGGTATCGGAGATGATGTCATCGCTTCAGGCACGCCGGGATGACACGTGACATCGACTGACTGTGGAAGCGATGGATGTGTTGTGTATTGGGTGGCCGGTGTGGCCAACTATCTAACTAAGATATCTAGCTTACTAAGTAATGACTAAGTGAGATCCAACCCCAGGGCAGGCGGAAGGGTACGTCTCGATGTTCCAACACTGACCTGGCGGCATTGGATTTGAAGATGAAGAATCTGGTGTGTATAATTTTCTAAGCTACAGACTACCGTTGCGGATCGTTGCGCCGATTTTGCCGTGTATCCTACTGCGCACCATCGTTCCAGAGACGTATCGCCAATCCTAAAGCCGATGTTGTCGAACACCCAGTCCAACAACGGAGCCAACGATGGAGAAGGCCAAAGAGATCACTGTCACGTAAGTCAGCCGATAAATTCTCTACGTTTTACTTCTTCGAGAAACGGAAAGGCTTGCCGTATGTATTTTTGAGCCCAGCCACAAAACATCCTACCACGATCTCTCGAACTCTTCCGTCGAGACGAGCAATGAAGCCGGTGTCAGAGGTTGCCGAGCGGATTATCTAGTAGAATTAACGAAAAGTCTCAACGACGTCGGACAGAAACTCACCTCGGCGGCTCCTTCGCCGTGCAGATGATGCTGCAGCTGAGACTTGAACCCAAGTCCAAGCACGGTGTTGGTCAGGGTCACGCCGGTGGTCATCGCGAGACTGACCAGAAGCATATAGCCGCTTGTCGCCATTGCCACCTCCTGCGGCTGCAGGAGCGCGGTCATACTCACAAAAGCCGCCGCGGACGCGATGCCGGTGCCCAGTCCGCCAGGAGTTATGTACAGGGATTCCCACGGTCCCGTCTGTCCGTTCCATCGCAGCAGGAGGAGCACGTGGGAGATGGACGCCACCAAACCGGCGACGACCAGCAGAGTCTTGAATCGACCCGTTCGTCGGATAAATCCGCCGGCCACCAGGCCCCCCAACGTGTTGCCCACCACTGCTGGGACCATATGACCGCCGGCGACCGTGGCCGAGGCTCGCTGCGTGACCTGGAAATAAAGTGGCACGGAGAACAACATGCCCAGCTGTGACGCGATCTGCAGAAACCCCACGAGGTAACTGGCAGCGACGTTCGGGCGGCGCAGGATATCCAACTGAAATATAGGCTCCGAGGCCACGCGCGTCTCGACCCAAACAAATGTCGCCAAGGAGCCCAGGCCGGTACTACCAAGCACCAGAGTGGTCCACGAGGCCCAGGGGAAGGCGTGACCGCCGCGATCTAGGAGGATGATGATGGCCACGATAGAAAGGCCGAGTAGAGCGGTTCCTAGGAAGTCCACGCGGCGAATCGAGGCTTTCGACGTATCGCGACGAGAGAGCTTCAGTTTCCCGCGAACCAGACACGCAGCGAGGGTGATGAAGGGAATTTGAAGCAGAAAAAGCCTGGTGGATCTGAATGTGAGCGTCAAACGCTGGCTCCAGGGACCAAGGGTATGCCTACCAGCGCCATCCGACTGCATCCGTGAGCCACCCGCCGACGGGACCGCCCAGGCTGCGACCCAGAGTCATGAAGATGTTGACATAGGCTCTCCACGAGGCGACCTCCCGCCGGGGCACCGTATCTACCCACCTTGTCAACACTGCCAGCCACTCGACGTCCAGTCTCCCTTTTTGCATACCTGTAGTGATGATAGATCCTAGGGTCATGATCCCGGCACCCCCGATCCCGCTTACGGCGCGACCACCGATCACCGTCCAGAGATCTCGTCCAATCCCACTGCTTACCCGTTAGCCAATTATCTACATGCCGCGGTTCACCGGGTTCACCCACGATATCAAGCAGCCCGCGGCAAACAGAGCGTAGGCGACCAGTAGCAGAGGCTTCCGCCCGTAGATGTCGCTCAATTTACCGTACTGCAATTGCGTCAGAATATAGCTTGCTTTCGGAGGAGAAATGATCTCCAACTTGCCATTGGCTGTGCGGCGCACACTCCCAGCGTGTAAGCGGCCGAGAGCCAACTCGCATCTTGCAACCGATTGAACTCGGAGGAGATCTTGCCCGTGGTGGCCATGACCAGCGTGCTGTCTGCATTGGATATGAACTCTCCTGCGACATGTTAGGTGAAAAGCCGACAAGAGTTGATTACAGCCATGAACCCACCAACCAGCAGCACGGCCACGATGGTCCGGACACCGGTCATTGTCTGCACGGCGCCTTGGTCTGCGGCGGAGGAAGAAGGTGTCACGCTCTCCTCATCGCCGGCCACATCCCCCGGCACGTCCGCGATCTTGGCGATACTTTGGTAGGATCTTCCTCCATCCTGATCCTGATTCTCGCGGGCGGCAGGGTTCAGAGGCGATGTCTCGTCCACGTCTGCGACCATGTTTTCGAGATTTTCAACGGATTGCGTCGGAATGTAGAAGGCGCCGTCCGCATTGCGCCGCTTTAATACTATGGGAGAACGGTGCTCCCTCTGCGCCGGGCCATCTTTGATCCCAGATCAACCCCGGCCAAATTACCGGTATCGTTGCCTTTTCACTGGGCGATTCAAGGTCTGACTCCTCGTTAAGAGATGAGCGTCCCCACTAGGGCGAGGCTTGACGCCAATAACAACGGGGGGAGACACAGTGCTCATCGCGATAGAGAAGCACGTCATTTCGTCATTTATCCGCTAGTGCATGTTGAGGCCTGAGTCGAAAATCTAAACAGGGATGAAATTGAGTGCGACGACGAGACATGGTAGATAGCCCAGGATCCGGACGCCGAGATCGACGATGGCGTGCAAACAGGGTTGTTGTTCCAGCGGGGGGTTCGTTGTAAAGGGGAGAAGAGGACGGAAAAGAAGGACGCTCGACTACATATGGGATGATATGACATTTTAAAGGCACCATGTGATATAACCGCCCGGGTGGTCTAGTGGTATGATTCTCGCTTAGGGTGTCCCTATAAGGACTATTAACCCAAGCATATCTGCGAGAGGTCCCGCGTTCGATCCGCGGCTCGGGCCGATGGTTTTTTTTTTTTTAGCGTTGACTGAATGAATTACATGGCAATTTGTCATGGTTCAATGTGTGTTGCCGGTCCCGAGACTAAAATATATTTATATACTGTTCTGCCTCCATGGTTGACGCGAGCGAGAATGAGATTAACGAAATTAGTCACTAAGCACAGAAAAGTTGATCTATCTAGCTGCTAAGCCAATGAATTAAAGAAAGGTCATAACATCCACTAGTAGAGAGGGAGGGAGGACTTGGGCGTTATTGTGTACAACCGCGAACCGCGAACCGCGCAGCTGCTGCCTCTGGCATTCAAGGCCAAACAGAACATAATGCACAAAAATCAATGCTACAAATACCCCCCAAAAAATGAATAAAACCCAAACGACAGGAAACAACATGACATATTCCCGGTGATATATTCTACACTAGCAAAGAAAACTATATGCATCCACACGGTCCATGGTGGTTAGTATTCCGACTTATGTATCTATCCCGGACTGAATAACTAGGGAAGACTCGACTCGTAAACATTCGGATGAGAACCACCCAGAACATAATCATTAAAGCCTTCGTCCCCGCCTAACAACATCAGATTATCCCAGTATCGATCGTAGAAATCCACAACGTCGGTGGAGCCGGCAAATCGCGTGTCTGGGGCCTGGTCCGCCGCATTCTGTCCCAGATAGAATGTCGCGTCCATGAGGTTGACGTCCAAGGGGCTGATGCCATGGCTATCGAGCAACAACTCTTGATGATCCTGATCGCTGGGAGTGAGGGTCTCGGCGAGGGTCTGGCTGTTGAAGCTTCCCGTTGCCGCAGACTCGTCTTGCCCCGGAGTGGAGCCATGTTGCAGGTGGGTATTGGCGATCTTCAACATGATCTGGAGCGCCTCGGCCGTCTTCAGGGCTTCTTTGGACTGGTGTCGCAGATGGTTCCAGATGGTATACGATCGTTCCAGGTCGTGCGAGAGCTGGGCTCGCTCCGCGAGGATCGACTGCCGCTGGTCGGACGACAGATTCTGCTTGAGGTCATGCCGCGACTGGCAGGCGATCTCCAACGACACCAGCATGGCGGCGGAGCGAAAGTGCATGACGACGACGGGCGAAAAGAAGAAGGAGGCGTAGCCGAGCTGACCGCCGGGGCTGCTGGCGTCGAAGATATCGGACTGATGCTGCAGCACGCGGCGCACGGCGTCCAGGCACTCCCGACGCGAATACGCGTACCTGGGGTCTAGTCGATGCTGGGCTAGATACCGCCGATGCAGGTCGCAGCGCGCCTTCTGGTACATCAGGTCGATATTGTAGCGGTCCATGATGGTGGTGGGCGCGTCCGCGATCGAGTCACTCAGTGGCTGGAATCGCAGCGGCGGGGGCACCGTCGCCTGCAGCTGTCGGAGGGCCGCGTCCAGCCGCCGGACTTCACGATAGGGGACACCACGGACGGAACAGACCTTGCCGATGATCTCGGCTCCGACAAACATGATGCGGTTCAGGGTGGCGGGAAACAGAATATGCGTCTTCTCGGTCGGGGGTCGGGGCGCGGGCAGTGCGGGCATCGACGGGTCCAGGTCGTCGTCGGTCAGGTTGAGAGGCTCGGCAGTGTCAGATTGCGACTGAATGGTCGTCGGCGGTAGACCGGCTTGCAGGGAGATGTAGTGATCGAGAAGCGAGATATACATCCACACGCGACGACGCATCTCGCCCTCGAACACCGAAATCTCGGGGTAATGGCGCGGGTCGCGATGGTAACCCGCGTGCATAGCCAACCGGCTGGCCAGCCCTAGGAGCACGGAGGGACCGACGTGAGTATCGGTGCTGCGAAGAATCTCGCCGGCGACGGTGAGCACCAGCGCCTCGAGCTTGTACCGTCCGGGGGTCGTGTAGACGGACGTGGTGAGGCAGTGCGCGGCGCGGCGATGGTACTCGTCGAACGCCTCGGCCAGATCCCCGTCGGCGCGACCGGCCGTGGAGAAGAGATGTAAGCCGGCAGAGGCCGCGAGAATGCTATACAGGTACGCCAACCAGTTGATCGATGCATCGTCGGGGTTCTTCCAGAAAGCAGCATACTGGACGGCGAAACAGTAAGTACCCGGAGAGACAAGGGTGGAGGGACTCAGGGCTCAACCGACCTCTTTGGCAAACGTCGCGGTGTGCATCACGACTGTCCACCGGTCAGCATGCCGGTCAGTACCCGGGGACAACAGCGCAACCACGCGTACCGAGAGGGGCCTCTTTCGAATTCAGATACGAGGAAACCAGGCGGTCGGCGACAGGCCGCGCCGGCAACGCGGCCAGCAAATCGGCCTTGGTGGTCGCAATGGTATTCCCGAACAGAAGGACGGGTCCCAAGGCGTCGGGGGTCGAAGGCTCCCCTTCCGCGTCGTCTTCGGGGGAAGTATCCTCGCTCATCTGGAGGTATTCTTTTACCTCTGCGATCTGCATGTCGGATTAGTATGAGACCTTGTGGGGCACGACGTCAGGGTCGATCTACTTCGTCCAGCACCGCCTGCCAGTGGGTGGGGTCGCGATAGCTCGTGCCATGCTCGGGGCTGATCAGCATGGTTCCGGAGTAATTGCTCTGGGGTGCCGATGGATCCTCTGCCTGCTCAGCTGCGATTGTCGACCGTGACTGCTGTGGCAGAGCCGCCGGGTTGCTGGTGACCGACGGGACATCGACGGCCGATAGTTGGCGGATGCGGGCCTCGAGACTATGGATATGACTCTGGATGCCCTGCGCCTCCTTGCTCGACATGGGACCTACGTACTGACACATGTAGGACCGACAATGTTTGATGCAGTTGTCGCAAGGATGCAGACGGTTGCACTTCAGTCTGCCGGGGGCGTTAGTAGTGGTTTACCTACTCCGTGGGTCAGGGGCAAAGGGACGATCACGGACTTTTTCTGGCGACACGGGACGCATGACAGCTTGGGGCGAGGCTTTCGCTTTTTGGCCGACGGGGCTGTCGGATTTACATCGTGGGGGGCGTTGGGAGGCTCCATGTCCACGTCCGCAGGAGTACAGTGTCAGTTACCTCCGGAAGGCCCCCCGTGGCAGGCAGAAATAAGTCCGGCGGGGAATTCGCCGCACTGCTGAATCATCGGGCATAATTCCTGCACAGTGGGAGTTGTGCTGAGGTGGCCAGTCCCGTTTGGGACTGGCGCCGGACATTCCTCGAGTAGCGCCGGATTTGTTGGGAAGGAACGAAGTATAAAGCAATCTGTCAGTCCAGAGCCTCCAGATCTATACAACTCAATTGACCCTGCACGCGTGCTGATTTTGCTCCGATAATTCCCTCCAGTCTATCACTAGAATCCCAGCAAATGGACTCAATACACCTGATGCCCAACAGTCCCCTTTACGATTGGGATTCGCCCACCGAAGGGTCCGCCCCGGTGACGGCGTCCAGCTCGCCAGCCTCGCGACTGACAGATATTCAAGTCTTTGGCGGATCACTCCCTCAATCGCCAGATCTCTGGGCAGACTTCATGTTCTCCGACTCCCCCTACCACCCGACCACCGCGTGCGGCCTTCTGCCCGTCACCTCACCCTCACACGGTGCTCTGGCCGACCAGACGTTGGTCGACCAGTTGGTCTTTGGTCTGGACCCGTTGATAGTGCCCCAAGCCGGTTTTCCCGAGATCGATCTCTCCGCGGGGGAGCTTATCCCGACCATGCCCGAGTCCAGGTTCACTCCGACGCCGATGATGGCGTCACTGCTACCGTTGAATATCGATCAATCGCCAGCCGTGTCGTCACCCAGAAGTGACCCGAGGGGATCTCAACCAACTTTCTCTCGGTCGTCAAAAGTCCGGCAACGGGAGCGGTCAAGTCCCAACGCGGAAGAATGGGCGGATGACGGCTCCCTCTCACCTGGCTCGGAGGAAGGTCGGCTGCAGGAGAGGCGGCGCCGCAATAAGTTGGCCTCGCGAAAGCTGCGGCAGAAACACCTGGACCACGTGTCCGATCTGGAATCACGGTTAGGGGCCGTGACGCAGGAGCGCGACGAGTTGCGCCTGCGAGTTGCGAAATGGGAAGGGGAGGTGATGGCGCTGAGGAAGTTGCTTGAGAATCGGGCAGACGACTCCGGATAGGTGGCAGTCCGGGCCCACGCCATGGCAATGACGAATATGACTCCGTTCAATGTAAAGTAATGTCAATACATCACAATATATCACGCAGAAACAAATGTCTTCGAGGGGTTGAGAGCTTTAAGATAGAGTCCTTGGCAGGCGAGGAGCGACATATCGAAGCCGGATACGTTACCTCACCTCCTAGACGCCAATTCTAATCGTGCGCAAAGCAAGAAGTCACAGCCCCTATGAAGCAACCGGGGAAGCCTGAAGAAGATTAAACGTGGATGCCACCATGTCGCCCGGGTTCTATCGGAAACGAAAGTAGACAGCCATCATGTGGAGGGAGGCGAGCGGTAGTAACACGATCCGGGACACGTTGCAGCCCTGGTGGTAGACTCGGTTGTTGGGAAGAGAGGAAAGGAGGAGAGGAAGAAAGGAAGAGAGTGAAGGATGAAGGATGAAGGATGAAGCTGGGAATCGGCAGCCAGGTATCAAGGCAGAAACAAGGCACTAAGGCATTAAGGCAGTGAGGTGGTGGTATTAAGGCAACGAGTCATCCCTCGCGTACATCCACATCCAAGTCTACATCTTTCTAGCCAACAATACTCCGGACAATGCACACAATTATTACCAATCAACAGAGAATGAGGCGTGTCCATTCCTGGAACTACGACAGCTGGCTAACGCTGAACAGACTCGTGAGCCTTAATCTCGCACACAACGCAGCTCCAATTTCCCTGGATGCAAATGGGGCCGATAGCCAGCGATCACATCGCCTCCAAAGTTGTCAAGATCCATGACCGTGTCGGTTCGCATGAGCTTCCGAGCTTACAGATGCTTAAGAGCATCGCCTTCTTCAACCGTAGCGCTGTCCGTCGCATGCTTGTGCCGCAGGCGAGCCTTAACGTCGGGCTGGGCGGTGTTAACCGCGTGAGAACAGAAGTCCAGTGCCCTCGACACTCGTTCGGAAGTCACCACGGGGTCTGCATCGGCGGCTCCTTGAATGACTATTACCACCGGTCAGTGAATCTATACGGTGCCATGTTCGAACTTACGGCAAACATACTGGGTTGAACGCAGTCAAAGGCCTTGTCGAAATTATCAGTTGCGATCTCGCTCCAGACGGAGGCATCCTGGCGCCACATCTGGCGGTATGCACTAAGGACGACCAACAGAAACCGCATATAGGCGTCGCCTACTTTGGTCGAGTGCCAGGCCGCGGCAGTCTTCTCGTCGCAATCGTGCCTCAGTGCCGCGCAGATAGTCATCGCCGCCGACAAGGCCCCGGTGAGAGCGAGATGCACGCCCGAAGAAAAGAAGGGGTCAATGAAACAACCAGCATCGCCCACCACGCGCGCGTACGGGATAGCATACGACGCGGACGAGTATGAATAATCGGAGGCGGATCTGACCGAAGTTTCGCACCTGGCGTTCGATAACATGTCCGTTATGTTAGGAGCTAACCGCAGACTGTTCATATAAAAGTCTTGTGTCGAGCCGTCAGCGGGCAAGTCTCGCTTTCGGGCGTTTCCCATCTCCTGATTCTGCACAATTCCGACAAAGACCGTTCCGTCGTGCAATGGGATCATCCAGGCCCATCCGCTTTCGTCTGCCAAACGCATGTTTGTTTATACCTTGAGCTTAACACGAAGTAGAGTAGGCAAACCATAAAGTGCCTCGAAATATGACGAATTTTCACTATCGGTTCCCACTGCATACTCCTTGGCTCCAGACCAGTAACACAAATGGGCTGAATTCTTCAATATCTTGCTATACCTGCGATCTTTCCGGCACTTCGTATTGATCATCCCGGCGCGCCCGCTAGCATCGACCACGTACTGGAAGTCGATCGACCCTGTTTTGCCGTCAGATTTCCGGATATAGGTTGCTGATACGGGGCGTGTGAAGCCCAGTTCCTCGGAATAGCTGTCAGTGTCGGAATAGGGCGCGTCGGCGTGCGTAAACTGCAGCGCGTCTACTCGGATGCCATCTATAACCGTGGAACCACACTCCCTGGCATGCTGAAACACAAGGTGGTCGGCCTCCGAGCGGACAAGATTCCAGGTGTAATTGTCTGGTCCGCCGGCAGAAATGAAGTCCGTGTCTACATGATGCCCGTCAGTGTTCATCTTGTTGGCTGTGGTCGACATCAGAGTGAAGGCATAATTACACCCTTCCTTTTTGAATGACGCCAAATTGAACGCGGCTCCAGGAAAAAAGAAAGTTCATATTAGGCTATTGTTGTTCAAAAGTGCTGCGGGGCTCCTCCCTTGACCTTGAATCCGTGGCTGGCAAACTTCTGATCGAGGCCAATATATCGCAAGAAATGGCGTAACGACGGAACATGCTTTCGCCGATATGGTAGCTGGCAGAGCCACGATGAGTTATTGAAATTTCACGTAATATTAGAAGAAATAAACGAATACACCTGCCGTGGAAAATAATCTGCCTCTAGGAGAACGACGTCGACGCCTTCGCGAGCCAGCGTTGCGGCGCAAAAAGAGCCCCCAGGTCCCCCACCGATCACCAGCACTGTGCACTGCGCCGGGACTTCCATGTTATGTAGATATCGTGGTTACAAATCCGAAAGATCAGACAGCTGTAAAAGGGAGAGAGAGAAAGAAAAGACATCATAAAAACCGAGATATCAGGCAAGTATTTGACAGGGAACAAGCACCTTGTCCATTAAAGTATTATTGACTTGCCAGGGATTTGAGGTACTCATGGATCGGGAATCATCAGCAGGATTCACGGCGTCATGTCATGCTTTTGGCTGGTTACTGTCGACTCAAAATCCTTGGAATCAAAGTTTAGCATAGTACTGTCAATCGAGTTTCCTGGCTGATTTCAAGGATCAAACTATCTTAACTTGTTCCGTTACTTTACGTGCTAGATTTTCTTGCCGAGGAAAGAAAAAGTGTAAGACAAGAGTATAACACTTGGGTTGAATACAATGATATTCAGTGTTAGAACTGGCACTTTAGGGCTCATGAATGTATTAGATAGTATGATTGCGAACTTGGGAGAGGGCTCCTTCTGAAATAAATATGCATTGATGTGGAGACCACAAATCAGTACGCAGAACGTCAGAGAAATAATACCAGCGCTAAAAGTGATTCATTTTAGCCTTTCGCTTTCTTGGGAAACCGCTTTTACGAAGGGATTATGGTCCATCGACCTAGATATAGTCCTGATATCGTCCACCGCCGAGCTGGTACTGGACAAATTGCACGACAGGATGGACCCAGTTGATATCATTTCGGCCAGTTCGCAGCCGGGCCAGTCATTAGTGGCCATTTCGACCCACTACGCCCATCTTCGCAGACAGATCGGCCATTATTGGCTTCATTCTTAGCGCCCCGGCGGAGAATACCGCGCGAGCGGTCTTTGCCGAATGATAAGCCATGTTAAGTCCAACTGGCGTGGCATTTCTCGTCAGCATATTAAAGTCATCTATTCGACCATCCGTGGCAGAAACAGAATCAAGACGCCCCCCGAAAGTTAACTTGAAGACATGAAAGCCTCACTCCCTTTTGCCAATTCTACCCTCTCCATCTGGCATCGCACCACGCGCTCGTTCCCCTATCTTCATGCCAATCGATCAATCAATGTTCCGCCATCCACCAAGTACCTTATCATCGGATCTGGGATCTCCGGGGCCCTGACGGCGTATGAGCTAATTCGGACCGGCGTTAGGGGGGAGGATATCTTGATTCTGGAAGCGCGAGAAGCTGTCTCCGGGGCGACCGGGCGAAATGCTGGCCATATTCGACCAGGTAAAACTGTTTTCTTTGGTGGGAAATGTTTTCTAACTTGTATTTGTAGATGCCTTTCGCGGCTTTCCTGGTTATGCCGCGGTGCACGGACCGGAGCAGGCTAGAAAGATACTGGAAAATGAGAGAGTCGTTCTAGAAAGAGTACGTGAATTTGTCACAGCAAATGATGTCGACTGTGATTTCAAGTACACCAACACATTCGAAGTCTGTCTTTCGGAGGATATTGTGAATGGCTCAGCCAAGGCTCTCGCAGAATATGAGGCCGCCGGGGGGGATATCTCCCATATCAGTGTCTTTGAAGGCCAGGATGCCAAAGAAAGAACTAGAGTTCGCAATGCTTTGTCCGCCTACGAGTCACCGGCTGCATCGAACCATCCGGGGAAGCTGTGTCAGTGGATCTTATCCGACGTGGTCAGTAAGGGGGTCAAGTTGTGGACACATTGCCCTGCTATTCAAGTCGACAAAAGTCCAAACTCCACAGAAGGTCGATGGAATGTGTATACTTCACGTGGAACAATAAATGCTGAGACCGTAATCCATTGCACCAATGCTTATGCAGCCTACTTAGTGCCTGAGCTGAGTCAATTCATCCGTCCACGCCGGATACAAGGCCACGCGTTTATACCGAGGCTTTCCCTTTCTGGCAGTGACTCGCTGCAGCATACCATGGCCCTCCGATACGGGTCCGAGCACTTCTTCTCCGTCAACTCCTTGCTCAATGGCACAATACTACTAGGCGGGTCGGGGACCAGAACTAGCTCTCCTGACAAGGGTGACCTGTCCATCAATGCAGCCACCTTCGACGATACGGGTTACAGCAAGCACATCGCTGAAAATAGCACGAGAGAATTTTGCGAATTGTCACAGGATCCAGGGACCGAGCCGCTTCGCCATGGCGAAGGATTGGACCACGTCTGGACGGGGATCATTGGCGTGACGCCGGATAAAATTCCTCTGGTTGGATCCATTGAGGGTCTTGAGGGCCAGTGGATTTGTGCGGGTTTCAACGGACATGGTGAGTATGCCCTGTAGTTGTGTTATTGGGACTTACATATGCTAAGTGGTGTCTAGGTATGGCAGGGATCTTCACATGCGCCCCGGGGCTGGTGAAGCTGATCAATGGCCAGTCATGGGATGAGACTGGATTGCCCGAGTGTTTTCAATACAGCAAAGAACGCATCGACAAATTCACCGAAAGCCAGATTAAGAGCTTCCTATGAGCAACCGAGCGACAATAGTGAGAGGTCCTACGCTGTGAATAACAATTTATACCGAAAGTCCAAACACTTGTAGATACCAACTTAATGTACAGCTATAGTGCAAATAACAGTTTTGTAACTCTCGACAGCGTGCCATGGACTTGCCAAGTGGCTGAATATTTGCCGACACACTCATGAAAAGTCGACACTATTGCAAATTGCGACTCTGTAGAAATGAAACGTTAGTCCGACACCTCTCGCATAGCTCTAGTTGCCACCGTCGAAATTCTCCGAACTAGCATATCGGGCTGGCTCAGCATGGGCGCGTGACCCGCGCTGCTGCGTTCCACCTCGGCCTCTGCAAAACTGGAAAATGCCTCCTGGAAAGGCGGAGGCATGTGGACGTCGTTCTGGCATATCAGGTACGTTGATGGGATGTATTTGTAGGCAGTTCGCGTCACTCGAGTCCAAAATACGCCAGCAGGTTGCGGGATTATGCGCGACTCCCATAAAGCGGCCTTGAAAGAATCCAGATCGCTGTAGAGTCGTTTCGCCGGGTTGCGGAAATAATAGAGACCCTCAGTCTTCTTTTTCTCCTAAATCAACATTTGCTCAATGACCCACGATTGGTAGCGTCTCACCTGTTCATCTTCATCAAGGGATGCTAAAGTGCTCTGACCTGACTCGCCTTCGTTGAGGATTAAACCACAAATATAGTAGAGGTGAAGAACTCCTCCTTTCTGCGCCTTTTCACGGCGCTTCCTGTAGCTCAAGCTCTCTAGGATGGCACTACTCCCGGCTACGCCTCCTTATGAATGCATTACCACCACCACGAGCTTTCCATGGCCTTCAACGAGTGTTTCTAGTTCCCGGGTCACGGCCAATGAGTCGTCGTTGAGCGACCGAATGTGAAAGTCATCGGCGTCGATGTTGGTACACTGGGGAGAAGGGGATAACTGTCTCGTATCTTGTTTCGGCGAGACCTCTAGCAAGCGCGGCGTATTTCCGGAGTGTCTGGAAAGCATCCTGGATAATGACAATCGACGGCTGCTGCATAGCGATCATGAATGAGATTGAATTTGTGATACAGAACGAGTGGGTACATGGGATGACCAAATGGCAGCTGGAAATGTATTGGGACTTAAGGCCCCAGAAATGGGCTGTGAACATGACGATCACCGCTGCCGCTTTCTTTGTTCTGGCCTCGGATCCACGGCTGCGCTGCTCTTGCTCGCCCTGCGAATAGACACATCCACTGCCGGGAAACTTTATATTCGATGAACTATCCAAATGAGCTCCAATGGTCGCCTAGTCACTAGTCAATCCAAAATCTAGAGCGGGCTGATTGTTGCCACTGGAGGGGAAACATGGGCCATAGGTCGTACCAGTCCATAGTCTCGGATAAAGATTACACTTTTATTGTCTGGCCTTTTACCGACACATCGCCAATCGAACAGTTCCCTGTTATCTCTGCATTAACTCGCGTCGTCGCATGGAGATCCAATGTTAAAGACAATGAACGTACTTCAACCAACACCATCCGACCAGAGCCTGAACAGGACATCCAGATGAGCGATCGCCTGGCCACAATTGGAAGATATTGGCAAATTTGGAGGAGTTCAGTGCAGCCGGTGTCTGCCTTGCCACTCTTGTGAGAGTTTTTTTGTTGATGCGCTCGTCATGCAACTGGCAAATGACTATCGCAAGCGAATTTAAATTAGGGGAATGAGCTTCGTCCAAGGCAGAAGTCCGAGTAATTGAGTGCACCGATAGTTGTGAAAATCCAAACCGCGCGCTTTTCTTGATGGACTTCCAAAAAACAAAAAGCTTCGAGCCTATCTAACATACAAGCGACCAAGGGTCATTGTGTTTTCCTTGTGAATTGGATTTTAGGATTTCTGCTTAATGCGGTAAATTATTTCGTCCACATCCTCCCATATCCGCTGTCGATTCCGTAGGCCCTTGAGCTGCGGCCAGTTGCGCTTGACCTCCGTATACAACTGATACCAATTTGTTTGACCCCTTGGTAGTTTATGTGATGGTGTTGCCGATTCTGGCCAGGGTAACAGATAGTCCAGAGCATCGTCCAGGTTGTCAACGTGGCCTTCCTCTCTCAAGACTCTAGTATAGTGCTGCCTTCGTTGGTTGAGTAGTCGGGCCCCGTTCGCCGTGACGGATGTCCAAAGTGACGGGCGGTGTCCTCGCTCCGTCTCGTCCCACGCTTCCCATAGCCATGGCATTTCTTCTCGGATAAGACGGTACCATAGGCCAACGGGAAGTTGTTCATAGGCTCGGGAAGCAAGTCTAAGATTGGCAATGTCACGGGATCCGAGATAATCGAGGACGAGAAGACGGATATCCAATGGCAAGACGGCTAGAGGATCAGCGGATTCGTCTCGGTGGCAGCTTGGGCGACAGGAGAGATCGAAAGCCCCGGGAGGGTGTCCCTCGGTTGTCACTGCAGAATTAAGAAGGGGCAACAATCGGGGTACGTAGAGTGGATTAGCAGCCAAATACTCATTGCCGGGTTCATGACGCCAGAACTGTTCTTGCGCGCCGACCACGTCTCCTGTCCGGGGAAATTCACGGAAGTCTTCCCAAGAAAACTCTGCATTGCGCCACTTCATGAGACCGGAAACGTTGACGCAGCGAAAGTGAAGCTTGGATTGGCGACAGAATATATCGAAACACCATGGATGAAACGGCAGAGCGTATTCATTTCCCTGAGTATACTCAGGCTGCCGTGGGTAAGCCTAGGGGCGTTAGGCCTTGAGGACATTCTGAACTTACATCAAAATTAACATTCTCCGATCGCGGGCGGCTAATACCGCCTCGCAGAGGATACACTTCTTGAAAGCAGTCATCTCGCGATGCCATGCCATCACAAAGGCCGGAAAGGAACCATTCGTCCGAGCGCTCCCAGTCCTCGTCCAACCCGTCCGGCTGCCATTGTGCGCCCGAGGCACCCTTGTGAATAAGAAATTGGGCCGTTCGGCACCCTTGCATCTCCTCCATAGAAATGGCATGACCGGAATAAGCATTCGGCTCGGCACAATTCGGACCGGCAATATGTTCCAGGTCGTCCGGTTCATACTGTTGCGGCCAGTGCTCGGAGGCGATTGGGAAGACATCCTCGTTGCGACGACCAAGCGGAATCCAAAGCGGTTCCCCGGGAAGACAGTCCTGGGTGATATTAGTATCGAAGAGGTGATCCTGATACCACTCGTCCTCGATGTTCCCGTCCGAGTTGGTATCCGCTTCATCGAGTCCACCGATAGATCTACAATCCGATTTATACTCGTCATGGCTCTCGTCCTCCTCCTCGTCCTCCTCCTCCGTCTCTGGCGGGGTATAATCCGGGTCATCTAAGGGATCGTCTCCACCCTTTGGATGACGTACCGCGGCGTGGCAGCCATTGCGAGCACATTCCTCTTCGTCAACCTCGTCGACGGCTAGATCCGGCTGGCGGCCCGTATAGTCCCATTTTGCCAGCTCCGGCTCTCCAGGAACACGACTGCGCGCGATATTGAAGCTGACCCCACAAAGATGGCAGTAAATCTGATCGTAACGGTTAGTGGCGATGCCTCTTGTTAGAGGGGTTATGACGCTGCACCTCGGAGTAACCTGAACTATGTTAGTATACGGAGTGCTTGAAAATGACAACGGGTAAGGGAACTGACCCATTCTTCCTGAAGCCTATGGCGTATCCGTTCCCTAGCCCAACATGATCATCAACAAAGAGATTCAAGTCTACACGAAGGCGGACAAGCAGACTACAAATAGTACTCAGCGGCCTGGTAGACCGAGATGGAGGCTCCACATCTCTTCGTATCGACCCACAAGCGCGACTGGCTGCCTAGAACGCGGGAACGCTCAACGCACTGGTCTCGAGCCTAGGGCCGTCTCGCATGTGAATTTCTCCGTAGAAAAAAGAGGAATGGAACTTGAAGGACTGACGACGCCAGTGCCGGGCCGGCGTCTCGATTCTCCGATATCAGGCAGCAAGGCTTCCACTGGTTGAGCGGACCTTCTCCATCCGGATTAGGGGGACACCCAACCAGTCTAGCCGTATCAGGAAGGTGGATAAACTGCCGTATTCTTCCCCTCGATCTTCACCAGCGACACGGCGCGAAGGACGTTCTGACCCAGGCATTCCCCAGTTCTCTACCTGGATTATCAAGCGAAGAGGTCACATGCCTGTCGATGTTGGTCTTGTGAGAACCCGAGACTGATGAAAAGGTTGCCCCGGAAGCGTGGGCTTGTCAAGTCCTTCGCAGTTTCATCAGCCGCGTCTCTGGAGGAGCTGGTAGACCCTTCGGTCAATCGCTAGGTCTCGCCTTTGAAACAGACCTTGCCGAATGATTTATCAAACAGGCCTGACACTTTAGTGCCGGTGTATCCCACGCATTCGACGATGAGCTTGGTAGCGGAAGCCTCGACCACTTTGGCCATCGCCGGGAGTGTGTGGTGCAAGGGAAAGCACGGGGATCTGAACAGTACGCTTCAAACGAAAATCAAGCACAGGGAGGGATAATGAAAAGCACAAGAGGCTTATATCTGCCACCTGGTGATTCGGGGCTGTGGCTGTGAGTCCCTTCCCCTATTTCTGACATACTGTAGCATGGAAATGGTCGTATTACGACCTTCAGGTACAGCCGAACATGGTGTGACTGTGTTGTAAAACACAAAGATTCCGCTATTCCCTCGTCCGGACTGTCAAGTCTATCAAAACTCGTTTGTGATGTTTCTGGACTCGGTGGACCCGGCGTGTGATTTGTCGCCCTACAGCCCTACAGAGACGCCGGCGACTTTAGTGTGAGCCCACCTGCGCGGGGATCGCCCTCTCACGCTCCCTTAGGCCAGGCTGCAGCGATCATGGAACCACCCACAGCCCCAATCCGCCAATGGGCGCATGCTGTCCGGTGTAGGCTGCAGACATATGGATGTGCCGATGTGATGGAATCGGCAGCATAACCCCACCGTTGCTGTCTCACCCAAATCACACCAAATCAAGCATCAAGCCTTAGCGCTGGGCATGCATGGATATTGTGTGTAGGTACGAACTTCTGGAATCCTTGCTCATCGCTTGCTCAAGGCATCAGCATTTTGCTCGCTGGCTGGAGAGGGGATAAATCCCGACATCGCGTCTTGTTCTTTCGACTCAGTTTTCTCTAGCAGTTTTCTCTGGCAGTCGTCCTGATTCTTTAACAAATTCGGTTTTTTCACACCTCTCAACCGTTAACCACGATGGGTCTGACCAAGATCCTCCTCAAGGCCATCATTATCCCAATTGTGGTAGTGTTGCTGATGGGTGCCGTTGTCTGGTTCCTCATCAAGCGCCACCGCGATCGCAAGCGCGAAGAGAAGGCCATCGAGGGCCAGCAGTTCCAGCAATTCCAACCACCTCCAATAACACAGTGGGCCACGGGGCCTCATCCTACCTCGACGATATCAGGCATGCACAAGCCGGATCCGGTCATCTATCCGGTGCAGCAGCCCGTTGACCCTCGAGGACAGGTTTAGGACTCGAGAACCCATGGCTTGGTAAGACCTTCATCCATTTAATCCTTTCAGCAGGTTTTCATGTATACATTGGCTGATGCATATTGCTTGTCACTTTGCAGGCTTTATAGTCAGCGTGTTTTATTTGCCTCACGAATGAAGAAGCTCATGGCCCGAACGTTCCTCGAGAGTACGGCAGTCAAAGAACAACTTACCTTCAGCCCTCATTTCGCCGTTTACAAACATTCCGATTTGTTATTTGATTTTATCGCTATACCAACCTCTGTCCCATAAATGTTTTGATGTCCCGTGTACTTGATGGCGTGAGACATGGATCATGTTTGTGCATTTTTCGTACTCTCGGATGTTGTGATGTCCAGAAGAAGCAAATCTAATTGGACATTTGTAAAGTTGATATGGTTAGAAAATTTTCGATGAGCACAACGTAATTGGCACACTTAAATCGAATATTCAACGCTTTTCCTCTCATCACACTGGCCCAGATCTCCTCTCTTCCCGGCGATCCTTCCGCCACACCAGCCACCACGAAGCCAAAATGCCTGAGATGGCGGCGCAAAGGAAGCATAGACAGATGACATATGAAACACGATATGTCGGTCCAAAGACCGTGCTGTAGATATGAGGACCGGCAATCCCACTGAACTGAGCCAGTGCATTGGTATACCCAATGCCGATTCCGGAAGCCACCGTGCCATCTAGGGCACGAATGCGCTCCGGCCAAATGACCGGATAGGCAGACCCGGCGCATGCAGTGGCGACAATGAGCGCGTGATATTTGACGATTGAATTGGAGACCGTGATGAGGACGATGTAGCAGACTATGATGGTGCTCTCGACTGTCACCTTTCGTTAGCGCCAGGCTTCATATGGTGAACGAAAGTCCGGGTCCGGGAGAACATACTCGCAACCGCCGTGGTCCACGGCCTGATTCTTCTTTTGTGCAGCAGGACTCCGAGGATGTTCAAGAAGATAAAACATGCGACGTAGGGAGGCTGAAAACTACATTAGCTAATGCTGGCTCAGTTGTACAAGAGGATGAACCCACAATGTTCATCAATTGCGAATACGCAGTCGTGGTGAAGCCCAGCTCGTAGATCACGGTCGGCAAGGCATAGTTGACGCCGAAACCGCCGATTCCATGGCCAATCCAATAGACGGAGAAGGTATAGACAGTAGGACTGGAGAATAGATCCCTGATCGCTTGCCAGTCCCAGCTTTTGTCTTTGCCCGATGGCGCCGAATCCGACAACCGACCGGTTAAATACTTGCGCTCTTCCTCGCTCAACATGCGAGCCGTCTCAGGATAATCAGGAAGACCAAGCAGAGCGATGACAGAGAGTACGATGGCCGGGAGACCCTCGAGGATGAAGAGCCATCGCCATCCCGACAGCCCACTCACGCCGTTCATGAAGCTGATCGCATATGCAAGCAGCCCACTCAACGCGCTCGACACCTGGCCCAGGGAGTAAAAAAGAGAAATTCTCCAGAGCATCTCGCTGGGTTTATACCAGAATGCCATATGGTATAGCACGGACGGATAGAAGCCCGCCTCAGCCATCCCAATTGCAAATCGCACGCACATCATGCCCGGGAAGTCCTGGGCGGCGCCCACCGAGCAAGCGCAGATTCCCCAGGAAAGAATGAGGACGAACATCCACCGCGAAGGGGTGAAGGTTTTGAGGAAGATCGTGTTAGACGGTTCGAAAAAGAGGTAGCTGTACGAGAAGATCGAGAGGGTCCAGGACCACTGAGATGGACTGAAACCGAGCTCTTTCTTGATTCCGCTGCCTTCTTCTAAGTTGATTATGGCGGCGTTGGAATAGTTGCCAGAGTCGATGACACGAAAGACGTAGACGACGGAGTAGAAACCAACTAACCAGAAATCAATCTTTCGCATGACTCCTTTCTTGAAACCATCGCTATAGTTGCTTTGCTCGCTCCCATCCATCACGATGGGTGATGAAGGAGACACGGTAGTGGTCACTATGTGCTCCTCTCCTTTACTAGTCGTCATTGTTGCTCGACTGGGTAGCCCGACAGCTATGGAATTTCAACTGATAGACCGTTGTCTCTATGACTTTGTCTAATATGCGAAGAAGATACCTCCGAACAACGAGCATTTATGGTGTGCAGCCTTTCCCACATATGCCGATTTGATGCTAGACATCCTCTGATGCCATGATAGTTTTGATCACGACATAAATTCCCGGCTGCAAAATCCCCGAAACGAAGCAAGATCGACACCTGTCAAGCACGAAATCTATAATCCACTCCCTCTAACAGGTCGCGGGGCAAGGGTGTAGAGCGATCTCCAATATTCGCGAGGTGCCAAGCACAGCTATCTAAGCCACGACTCTGCACCGCTCCACCGTATACCTCGAGCGCACGCCATGAATAACCCATCGGTCATGTTCCGTAGACTGGGATTCGCCTACGACGTGCATCTTATTGGCCTCAGCCGGCCATGTTACTCGCGGAGCATAACGCAATTCCCGCGAAGAATGATATACATCCAACCCCGCATCTCTGGCATCCGCGGCATTGAGTTCCCCTGAAACCTGATACTGTACGCTAAGGATAAGACTTAAATTGTACTATGCAGCATGTCGAAAGCTTTTGAAACGGGACCTCTTTGTTTGCCTTCACCCAAAAAGTATAATGGCCCCCTCCGCGGTAGAACAAGAAACCCTCGTATCGACCGAGAAGGTCCTCATCAAGCCATGGACTCGACCGGGGCCGACAAAAGAAGACCTTGAATGGGCCCCTCTCGTGCAGATTGATCTGTCGCGATTTGACGAGCCCGGCGGAAAGGAAGAACTTGCCAAGCAGCTCTACGATGCCGTCACCCGCGTCGGATTCTGGGTCGTAGTTGGCCACGGAATAGACGATGATCGTGTACTGCGTCAGTTCAGCTTTGGAAATGCTTTTTTCAAGGAGCCCATCGAGGAAAAGCGCAGTTTCCCGTGCAACTTCGCCGAAGGGGAGTACTTCGGGTATCGTGAAAATGAGCGATGGATTGGGGATACGGGAGTGAAAGACAATGTCGAGATGGTATGCAGACATCACCTCTCTACAGGCTTCTTGCTTTGACTCGTCTGGTTTAGCTGAATATCCCGAAAGCAATTCCTGCCTGGGAAGACCTTCCAAAACACCGAATTGTGCGGCAAAACTATGATGAGGTCGCAAGCTTCCATCGCGATCTCTTTGACAAGGTTCTTCGCAAATTGTTTGTCTTGATTTCCATCATTCTCGAGTTGCCAGAGAACTACCTGGCCGATGCGCACGGCTATGACGAGCGTTCCGACGATCACCTGCGTTATATGATCTATAACACCCGTACTCCCGAGGAATGGACTAAGGCACAGGGCTATACGAAAGGTGGACATACAGACTTTGGAAGTTTAACACTGCTGTTCTCTCAGAATGTTGCTGGCTTGCAAATTCGAACTCTAGAGGGCGAATGGAAATACGTAAAGCCTGTCGAGGGAGGGATTACGTGCAACACGGCCGACACTCTGTCGTTCCTGACAAATGGTAAGATTACTTATGCAAACGTCAAACAGGTTCCGAAGGAAACCCGCTTACCGAACGTATAGGATTCCTCAAATCTACCATCCATCGAGTCATCACGCCGCCGGTTGACCAAATTGAGATTTCTCGTCTGGGGCTGCTGTACTTCTGCCGGCCTGGCGATAACACGGTGATGAAGACGGTTCCATCGCCGCTGCTCGAGCGACTTGGCTTGCTTGCCGACGAAGACAAGACCGATCAACCCGTGGCTACGGGCACTGAGTATGTACGCGCTCGTGTTCGCGATGTGCATCACAAGAAGGTGATCGATCGTCGGGAGAACACGTCCTTCGAGTTCAAGGGATTGAAGGTCCCGAATCACTATAGCTAGTGCATGTCCATTGGGATCGAGAAATTGACCGTGGTTGGAGTCTTGAGTCTGTCCAAGAAATTGCTTACAGGGCATAAGCTGGCCAAAACCAATTCAACCGCCCGTAGGTATTGATTGACTATAGTGCCGAAAATACCACTGTAAAAGCTTGTAGCTGGCAGCAAAGATGGAGTACCTCGACCACGTACATACTGTCGTATTTGAGGGGAATGATAGAAGAAAGTAGATTGTAAACCCGTGGACCGAGGCAGGAGAAAAGGAAGGCGGTGTTGGATTCGATGTAACAGCAACCCCTCCTCCTCTGACAGCCGCATTTCAAATTCCTCATTCTCCATGCACTTTCAATATATCAAAGGTTCGGATTTTCTTTGTCTCTGCGATGTCTCCGAGGTATACGGAGACCGCTGTCGGCAACGCCTCGTCCGTCAAAGCCAGCAGCAGCCGCGACCCTTCTCTACATTCCGACTGTTCACCCTTCAATAACGGCCTTAGTGCTCTCACCGAGATTGCAACGCCTGAGCCTCTCCAAAGAGACCATCTCGAGGCTCATCCTTGTCTCGAACAAGGTCTTTCAGACATGCGGCATACCGGCGCTGAAGTGGGCGGCGATTCTGATGCAGCCCTAACTGAGATTGTAGCACCGCCGCCAGTACAGAGACACGTCGAGCAGCTGGCCCTACGACCAATATCTCTTGAAAGAAGTCTCTCGAATGCCTCCCGGCATGGCTCGGCGCGAAAGCCGAAGACCAGGTCTTGTATCATCTTCTAGCATGCTAGTAGGGGCTTTACTGATCTCCTGCTTTCCATATTCTTTGACCTTTAATCGCTTTACAGCTTTGTTGACGAAGAAGGCTATCGTCACTCAGCAGATATACACAATTGACTACTGCCAGACAGGATAATTCACGTGGTCCCGACTCTTCAGAGACACCTGAAACACCAGGCATCAGGGCACCTCCGCTGCTCCGCACGTGCCTCCAGTCGTCTAGAAATCATCGTCGTCTTCCTCTTCTTCATCCCCTCCTCTTTCCTCGCCTGGAAAATCCACCATCTCTCCCAACTCCTCCGATGTAACCAGGAGATCGGATGGATCCTCCTTGCTGGCTTGCTCACGCACCTGGAACTCGCGGGCTTCCGGGTCCGCGTCGCGAAACCGCGCTTTCTCCACGGAGACCGCACTGAACGCGTGCGACTGAGGCAGAATGGCTGCCAGCTTGCGATACTTGAAATACAAGCCCCCGAAGAAGACCACCTTCCTCTCGTTCGGCTGATTGGCTTTCGATGTTACCCACCCACTGTCCCCGTTTGACGTGTACCAGGCAGTCGACGGCGCCACCTCGCCGATCTCAATCACCCCGGCACGGAAGCCGACCGCGATCTCCTTCTCGGTTTCCGACCAGGCATTGATCATGGCATGCTTGGTCGTGTAGGCGGACGTGACGATGATCAGCCCGCGATCCCGGACGTCCGGCCATTGTCGCAGGATGGTTTCGGAATTGGCCTTACACCACTGCCGAAAAGGTGTGGTGCCGTAAATGAACTCCTTCACCACCGGACCCTCGGTCATCAAGATCGCGCCAAACCCGTCCTTCGTACTGTATTTGTACAGCGCGCCGATGTCCGCGGGGATCCCGGCTGGTAATAGCGACGCTCCCACGTTCCAATCCACCTTTCTCTGCTTCATGCGACCGGACATCTTCGGACCCCATGCACGCTCGTCGGACGGGGCTCGCTGGAAGTAGGCAAACGGCGTGAGGCCGTTGCGAGCGAGCGACGATGCGTCGCCGAGATTGATTGGGACTTGGTCGGTTCCCAACAGCGGCGTCCATTGGCCGAGCTCGGTGAGATAGCCGCAAAACCCCGGTTGAAGGGTTGTGGATGACTCCGGTTCGTATAACGCGTAGCCATAGGGGTGATTCAGCATTGACTGCTGGTAGCTGGCCCCTAGCGACGGCATGGTAGGGAATGCGAGGGAAGGAGAGGAAGAGCTAACTGACGGTTCTAGGATACCATGCCCGTTAGTATGAGGGAGCCGGGAGGGTTCTTGGAAGCTTGCCAACGCGATAATCAATTACCAGCAGGCCACGATAAGTCGAGGTTTTCGAGTGTGCAACATCTGACACGATCGTCAGGAGAGTCAGCCGGGTGGTCAAATACGAGATGCGAGGCTGCATCAATAGCGCCGCCGTTGATTGGAAGCGAGTCGTCGGCCAAATTGACCTAATTCACTTGGCCCCTTTCAGCCGCCGGATGCCCCGCGTCGAGATGAGGCCTGGCAATGTCCCCTGCTTTTCGTCCGCAGTCTTGCGTCCGTCGGATGGACAGCTGAGGAGAATGCGCTTTGAGTGGTGGTTTGCTACATTGCCTTGCACCCCTGTCACTCTCGCCTGCATTGACCTGTTCTGTCCGATCGTGCCAGGCAGCCAGAGCTCTAGCTTCTCGATGCAATATTCTCGAAAACAATATAAGACCGATCATTCGGGTGTGAAGACCTAGTAATAGGCATCGCCCTTGCTACCCATCCGCCGCAGGAACCCGACCATGGCAGAACCACCATCACCATCACCATCACCGCCCGCCATTCCTAAGGAGAATATCGAGGAGGCGAAGGCTGCATTTGCTCGCGATCCTCCACTTGTAGACGATCTCCGACCGGGAACCTTCTTCGATGACCCGAATTACCTCGATACCCTACCCCACGGCGCTAAGGCTCTAGTCTGCGCCGTCCAGCATTTTGGTGACCATCCGGATAGACCGGGCCTCTGTCATATCCAGTCGGTGCAAGCGTTCGGGCGATACATTCAGACCAATGACCTGGAACAACTCAGCATGGCGTTTGCCATGGAGGCCATGTCGCTCCGCTATGTCCCGCCTGGCCACCCGGGCCGTGGAAAGTCTAACAATCATATGGGAAGGCTTTACCAGCAAAAGTGGGAGAATGATAAAATCGCCTCTGACCTCGATGACACGATTCGCCATTACAAGATCGCAGTCGACACTGCTAAGGAAACGGACGAGACAATTAGCGACTGGTCCTGTGATGTGGCGGCTCTGGCTACGAAGCGCTGGAATCGAACCAAACAACCGAGCGACCGGCAGGATGCACGCAAATATTTTGACAAGGCTATCGAGCTGGCCGGCGAGTCGCCAAAACGAGCGATCCATCTTTCCAACAAAGGGGAGACAATCCGTCTGACATTGTTCGGCAGTGACGAGGAGCGACAAGCACTTCTCAGCGAGTCAATCGGCTACCACGAGCAGGCCCTCGAGCTTTGTGGGGTTCTTCTGGCTCTATCGGAACGGCCTAAGATTCCTTACGGCATGATTCATCGCAATGTCGCCCAGGCATACCTCGCGAAATATAATTTGTTGAAGCAGCCGGAAGACGGCGAGAAGGCTGCCTGCCTGCTAGAAAAGGCGGTCGACTTCGAGACAGTTGGAACTGCCGGCTGGGAACGGTTCATGAACGAGCTTGGCAACGTGTATAATTTCAGGGCCCACTTAACGGGTAACGCGGAGCATGAAGCAAAAGCGTCCAAGATTTGGAGCGAAGTCATAGAGCATAGGCCTAATACGGTCGTTGCAAGGACAAGCCTTGCCGAGCTTTACCGTACCACCGCGGAAAAGGCCCAGGGCGAAACTCTCACTGCGGAAGCGATCGAAAAGGCCACTTCCCTGGCCCTTATGGCGGCCAATATGTCATCTGTGCAACGATCAAACCCAGGACTAGCCAACGCGCGTTCAAGCTCTGTTCTATACACCAAATACGAACTTCTTGGTCGCATAGAAGATCTCAACCAGGCCATAGAATACGCCCAGAACGCGACACGGGACCAAAACAGCGACGATCTTTGGGATCATTATCGCCTACTCGCTCAGGTGTTGATCACGCGGTTTGAAAGCCTCCGTCGCCTAGAAGACCTGCGAGATGCTACGTTTGCGGTGAATGAGTCCCTCAAAGCGTGCAGCCCCGAGGATTTCGAACAGAAAGCGGGCTGTCAATGGGTAGTAGGCAAAATTACTCGCTTAACTTACGACATGATGCCAAATACCCATGTGCTTCTTCAGGCAACTCAGGTCTTTGAGATGTGCAGTCAGACGATGTCCAAGAAATCCGTAACACGCTGCCTGGTCTTGAATGACCTGGGCAACGCCTACGCGCAACTATTCAGTCATGAGGCACTGCCGGAGCAGCTAGAGAAAGCCATTGAGGCATATCAAACGTCTCTGTCTGGGCTTCATTCTATATTTCACTCGGATCGGCACCCCAATATCCTCATGCTTAATGGATCGCTCGGGACTGTCATGATTCAGCGTTTCCAGACCTGGAGGGCCCATACCGACATCGATTCCGCTGTGACGTACTTTCGGCGCTCGCTCTTAGGCGTTCATGAGAGCCATCCACGATATATCACCCGCGTGAGCAATCTTAGTTACGCGCTTCAACTCCGATTCCAACTGAATGAGGTCAATGGGAACCTGGATGATTTGAAGGAGACTCAACGACTTCTTAGAAGTGCGCTTGAGTCACCGAAGCTGATCAGCAATGAAATGAAAACTAGCCTACTCAACCATCTTGGTAACGCTTTTCTATGCTCATTCACTCTGAGCAAACAATCAACTGATCTGGAAAATGCCATTAATCATTATACTAAAGCCACTGCAGTAGAGGGGTGTTCTCCTGCAGCCCGTGCGACGGCGATGATTAACAAAGCTGAAGTGCAGAGGTTAATGGCTGTTTCCAGCGGGCTACTGTCCGACTACGAAGCGAGCAACCTGACGTTGGAGGAGGCTCAGAAGGTGCTGACCAAAGATGACCCGCGCCTCTGTAGTGTCCTCCTAGATCAAGCCAACCTGCTGTACGGCATTTTTGACAAGCATATGGGCTCGGATATCCAAGAGTATGGACTCCGCGCCCTTGCCAAGTATGAAAAGCTCCTCCACATGCCAAATCTACCTCCAGCTTCGCGCGTCAGCGTTGGTTCTCTCGCAGCCAGTCTTACTTCACACATACTCAATGACCAAGCAAAAGCCAGGGATTCTATTCTGATCAGTCTTGAAGCGCTCCCCGAAGCAATTCTTATGCACGAAAGTAGGCTGGAGCAGCTGAAATTTGTCCGAACATACCATTATGTTCCAAGCAGCGTGACCGCGTTGTCTCTTAATGCGGGAGATCCGCCAAACGTGGTTATACAGCGTCTCGAGGCTGCAAGGGCCTTTATCTGGGACCGAATCGAAAATCAAACAACACAGATTGATATTCTTGAAACTGAGCACCAGGAGTTAGCAGCCAAATTCCGCACAATACAACAGCGGATCTTCCAAAAAAGCCGACCATCTGGCAAGCGAGCCACGGTGGATTTGACCTCGGTTGCCCCAGATGACCTTAATAGACTCCAACGACAGCATGATGGTGATGCTTATCGTCAGCTGCTCCAGCAGATCCGAGCCCTCCCGGGCCATGGCTCCTTTTTAAGAACCCCAGAAGCCCCAGGCGACCTTCAAAGCTATGCAGCGGACGCACCCATTGTTTTCATCAATGCAAGTAAATATCGCAGTGATGCTTTGATCATCACCAAGAATAGTGTGGACCATTTGCCCCTCCCTGCTTTCAACATGGAGCGTATAACGCCGTATGCAGCACGCTTCATGCATGCTTTGGACATGCTCTCCAGAGGTGAAGAGCAAGCAACCGCTCTGACGCAGTACCAAGAAGTCATGAAATGGGTCTGGAAATCCGTTGCCAAGCCAGTTCTAGACAGCATTGACTGGCAGAAATATGAGCCCGGCCCGTCTGGGAAACCGCGGATTGTATGGGTGTCAACGGGATGGGTCAGCGTGTTTCCCATGCATGCTGCAGGCGACTACGAAACCACCACGATGAACGAAGAGCCCACGTGTGTTCACGACATGGTTGTTTCGTCGTACACTACATCTCTCAAAGCTCTAGAAATCAACAAGTACAATGCTCGACGAATTGATACAGAGTCAACCGCTGATTCCCGGCAAGCGATGATTGCCGCCATGGCGACAACGCCCGGCCTGGGTCCGGAAAACGACTTGGACGTAGAACCCGAAATCAACTCATTTGAAAAGACACTTGGCTCTTTATTCAAAGTCAATTTGCTGCGGCAACCGGACTCAAAAGCTGTGAAGCAAGCCCTATCTACAGCAACTATCGGCCATTTCGCCTGCCACGGTCGCGCCGACAAGGAAGACCCTTCACGAAGCGCTATTATGTTACAGGACAGCCAGGCGAAAGTGCCGCCCTTTTCCGTACGAACGCTTCTGAAACTCGACCTGAAGACTTGTGGGCTTGTTTATCTATCTGCGTGTGAATCCGGTGTCAGCAAGGACCTCGCAGTGCGAGACGAGGGCATACATATTGCGGGAGGATTCCACATCGCCGGCGTGCCACATGTCATTTCCACACTGTGGAAGGTGTCGGATACTGTTTCCGCCCAACTCTCCGGTCTGTTTTATGAACGACTCAAAAACGAAGCGGGGGAAGTTGATCTCGCCCGAGCACCGCATGCTCTTCATATGGCATTAGGGGAGCTGAAACGAGAGGGCGTGCATCCGATGCTGTTAGGACCTTTTATCCATTCCGGCCCTTAAGCTACATCTGCAGGATATGATGTAAGGGACGGTGTATGACAAGATTTAACGAATGGTTTACCTTATCTTGGAGTTCGACTGGCAGCTTTCTTAATTACATTATTGTTACAACTGTTATTTTCTAATAAAATCGCGGCCACTCGCTCAACATTATTCACACAACAAGCCAGTAAATTTACAAAAAGGAATTGTACAACAGACCGGACGGAATGAGCAGCAGGCCAACTATTAACAACTATAATCATACTTCGTAGCGTCATTTACCCATCAAACCATGGCAGTAGCCAACATCAGCATGATTCCCAGCTGATCCGCATCTGTATGCCAAAGATCCAGCTTCTGGGAATTCAACCCATCACCGGGGTTCCGCTGCGCTTCAATCAACTCCCCGAAATACGCCAATCGGGGCCGTCGATAATTCATCTGACTCGCTCGGTATTCAGCTTCCCACTCTTCGTGACAACTGGCGGTCCATAGTGAGTGCCCCGACGGCAATGGGATGGCGCGGTAGACCTCAGTTGTGTCGCAGGGGATACCTGTTTTGACGCAAATAACGCGACTTATGATGAACCAGAGACAGGCGACTCTGTGATTGATATTTAGTACTTGATTTATTCAAAACGAGAAAGAAGCGACACGCACCTTCTTCGGGATTCCGAGAAGATCCAATCATGCCAGGTGTGGTTGGGATTGGCCTGCTCGTCCAGAGCGAATGGCTGGGCGCATATTTTGCGAAATTGTTCGCACAGAAGCTGTGCTCTTTCGTTAACGGTCGAAATTAATTGAATGCGAAATAAATTGATTTACCTGGAAAGACAAGAGCATATGCAAGTCATGCTCTGAATGCCGCAGAGTATCGTCGACAATGCGCATGATTAGGTAGATAATATATACTTGAATTGCTGCTAACAGCTCTTCTCTGTCGAAGGTCTCCATCTATTTGAGGATCATTAGCTCAGACCCTTGAAAAAACCGACAGGGATTACTTACCTCACTCAACAATCTGCGCTGCTCCATCCGAATTGTCTTCCAAACAAAAGGCTTGGTCTCTTGTGTTCGAGGCACGAACATCTGCGCAATGCTCATACAATTCGCCAACGGGGCTTGGAGTACCGGAGAATGGCTGTCGGTACATCTTTTGTAATACGAGGGATGAATAAAAGGTGGGAAGGTGGCTTTTTGGACCATTAGTTGCGGGAACGGACGCAGCATTTGGATAATGTAATTGGCGTTGCATTGCGCTGCCGGGCTGCTCATGGGCAGAGGAGTGAGGAAGCCCGAGGTCTCTAAAGTAGTCAAGGCAGGAGGGATCGTGATGGTCGAAAGAAAGTCGTTTTTGCCGGTCGCTGGTGTCTCTTGAGCCGCGTAGAGCTCCTCCAGCGAGGCCATGGCTTGCGCATCTGACACCTGCGGCTCCTCCGAGACATACGTGCTGGTGGTGGCGGTCGTAGGGGCCGAGATCGTGTCGCACACCGGGGCTGCCGTCGAGGTCGATTGATTAATTTGCAGCAGATCGAGATTGATGTCCCACGGCAACTCGTCGCCCACCAGGTCCATATTGTTGGCCAGGATCTCGCTCCTAGGAAGCGGTGTCGGTGACGACGTGTCCACCGAGGTTGGAGGGGGCATGGGCTTAGATTTCAGGGCGGCGGGTGTTAGAGTAGCATTTTGCCGACCGTGAGGATGATCATAAACACACTCCAGACCCTTGTGACGGCAGCGTGAACACTGAGGTTGAAAGCTACAGCGAGCTTTGGCGGCGCTGCAGGCCTGACACGACTGATGCCGCACTCGGGGACGATCTCGCGAGCGGCGACAGTAGCCTACATGGCGGTTCCGCGAGGCCTCGTGGGTGAAGGGCTTCTGGCAAAGGTTGCAGAAGAACATTCTAATCTGCGCATCCATCGGTCCAGCAGGGATCAGCGGCAAAGCGATTCATTCTTCAGGGGAGTCCGACAGGTTGGCAGGAGGAGAGAAAAGAGGCGGATGACAAATGACACCCGGTTGATAAGGCTGCCACGGCTAGGGCTTCCATTGGTCACGCCATCCCGGCCAATTTCGCCGTCTTTTCTTTTGTCTCACTCTCGCTCTCTGCTCTCTCGGCCAGTTTGCATCGTCACTCTGGCCGACTTCTCGGTCAAATCGGTCACGGCCAGTTTCCTACCCGGTAGATCATTTGTTTGCTGACAAACACCATATCTGCTGACTCGTAGTCAGGGGGCCATTTGGCCAGCGTATACCTACTCAGATATTAAGCGTGAGTTGAGCTCTCAGGCTCCGGTTTAGTTAGCCTGTCAACCTACTCATCCCTCTTGATTGTCGCTGACTCTGTGCATTATGGACGAAAAAGACTCTTCTTCCACGCAAATCCCTCCGTCGGAGGAGACTCAGTCGCCGCCGCCCGAGCCCAAGGATGAAAGCGTGCGAACGATCCATGGCTTCAAGGTATCTCGTCTTGTCTTCCAACCTAATTCTGCTCTAGCGGTCACTAATCACACGAATTCTCCCCTAGTGGTTCTTGGTTTGTATATCTCTGTACGTCGGATCATTGATCTATGGCCTGGACACCACCATTGCGGCCGACATTCAGGCTGCTATCATCAAACGATTTGACAATGTGGACCAGCTGACCTGGGTCGGCACTGGATTCCCCCTGGGCTCTGTGTGTGCTATTCTGCCGGCGTGAGTATTGTCTATGGACTAGCTCCTGTGGTGCTCCTTGTCGACTGACCGATAGCCTTTTGAAGTGCCGCTTTCTACGCTGTCTTTGACCTCAAGATGCTCTTCATCGCCAGTGTCGTCCTGTTCGAAGTCGGCTCCGTGCTCTGCGGTGCTGCTCCCAACATGAACGCCCTGATTGTAGGACGTGTTCTCGCTGGTCTGGGAGGATCAGGAGTCTACATCGGGTATGATACTGTTTCCTTGCATGATCGGGAAGCTTCCACTGATTCAGTCTCAAGTATCCTCAATTACTTCTCTCTCTGTACCACCAACAAAGAGCGTGGTCGGTATGTGTCGGGCATCGGGCTTGTCTGGGGTGTCGGTGCTATTTTGGGTCCTGTGGTTGGAGGCTCTTTTTCCGACAGCTCGGCTACCTGGCGTTGGTCATTTTACATCAATTTGTGGGTTCCTCGAGTTCCCTTCTGGGTATTCGGTAACTAACGAGGTCCATGTAGGGTCATCGCCGCCATTTGTGCCCCGGTCTACGTCTTCTACCTACCCTCGGTTAAGCCGCCCGCAGCCTCAAACACCTCCATCCTCAAGAGACTAGGAGCCATGGACTGGATAGGCTTCTTGCTGAGTTCCGGGACCGTGGTGTGCTTTGTCATGGTGTTGACCTTTGGCGGAGCGGGATGGGCCTGGGACGACGGGCGATCCATTGCAACCTGGGTGGTCTTCGGAATTCTTCTAATTGCCACAGTAGTACAGCAGAAGTTCATGCTCTTGACAGACGAGGAACACCGGATGTCACCTCCCGGCCACATTCTCAAGAATCGTTCGCAGATTCTGTTCAACATCCAGACCGCGGCAACGGTGGCGAACATCTATGTTCCGCTGTATTACATCCCGCTCTTTTTTCAGTTCGTGCAGGGAGACACGGCAGTTAAGGCTGCGGTGCGGTTGTTACCTTTCATTCTGCTGCTGGTCTGCACCAACATGACATCCGGGGCCCTCTTGCCACGTATTGGTTACTAGTGAGTTCTGGTTTAGATCCAAGTTGGTTTGATTTGGTTGTTTAACCTGCTGTCTAGTTGGGCTATCTACGTCGTTACCGGTGTATTGATGACCGTTGGTGGCGCGCTTATGTACACCGTCAATATCGATACCAAGCCTGGCAATATATACGGATACAGCATTCTCCTCGCTATAGGCAGTGGCCTGACGTTCCAGGCAGGTTACACTCTGGCCGGTATCAAGGTTTCCCTGAAAGGCTGGCCCGGGAAAGACATTCAAATGGCCGTTTCTCTCCAGAACATCTCCCAAGTTGGCGGCACGCTGCTATGTCTCTTGATCTCGGGACAGATCTTCCAGAGTCTCGCCTTCAGCAACTTGAAAACCGTTCTCGGACCCGAGGGATACAGCGATTCGGAAATTCGTTCTGTTGTTGCCGGTACTCAGAGCTCTGTATTTGAACATCTCAACGAAGAGCTGGCCTATGAGAGCACTAAGGCAATTACTCAGGCGATGAGCCGCGTGTACAGTATCAGTATTGCGGCCGGTGGGTTATCGCTCATTGCCGCCTTGTTGATGAAGAAAGAACGCCTGTTCGGGAAGAAGTGATTTCGAAGAATGTTGATTTTTGGTCAATTAAAAGGCTCTGGTTGTTTGAATCGGCGCGTCGAGGCCTCGGCTCTCCTCTCTACTCTTCCTTTTGCTTGCTTAGGCCGCTGTGGGCAATAATCTTATCTCGGTTGAATGGCACGGTATCTTAGAATGAATTGATCTAGATTGAGTTTAGAATGAAGTGATATAATTGTTTGATTTGTTGAAACCTGTGAGAAAGTTTAGGGGGTTCTAGTATCGCAAAACATAACGTCTAGAGAGCCTTGTTTGCTCTATCCATTCTAGATACCTTGCCTGTAGACATATATTTAGGCAATACTAAGTAGGATCGCTCTCAAAAATGTCAGATTATCACTACGACTGGTTAATCATCGAATAAAAACAGTGAATAATCATAATTTTCAGCCCTCCATCTTTGAACCCTTTCTGTCTTATCATCTCTGTCACTGATGAGTTCTGCCTGAGGAGTGAGGACCTCCACGAACGGGCTTCCCAATCGGGAATCCCGTGCTGATCAGTGATCATGTGTCGCATCGTGAAATTCTTCATTCCTCTAAATTCTTTGTTCTTTCAGTTGGAACCAGTCTTTACTTTCGAAGTCAGGTTTGCCTTTGCGTTCTTTAGGGATTATTTGTTCGTCTATCCCTAACAGTTCCAAACAACTTTCTCCGCGGTCCATCGATCCCCTGGCGTTTCAGGCAAAGACCCCATATTGTGCGTGATGCCTGAGGCATAATTCCGACCGGCCAGTTATTTCCGCCGGGTTTTGCCGACACTATAGTGTATAGTTCATCGATTTCGAATAAAATAAAGCAACAGTCATTGCAGTTCTCATCTATCTACTCTCAACTGAGCGCATCCACCTCATACCCTCAACGCAGACACCTCGCCATCAACCACGCAGTCCACCTTGACATGCCACACGGCCCTGCATTCTACTTGAATGCCTGGCCTTTCAGACCCCATTTGACTCGCGATACCCCTCCGTGTCCCACAATGAACAGCTGGTCATAGTCCGGTCCGCCAAAGTCGATCGACGCGGTGGTATAGTTAGTCTGGATCCGAAGAATGGGAACCCCCTTAGGAGTCAGGACGTCAACTCCGTGACCCGTCGAGGTCACAAGATACCCATTCTCGGCGACCTTCAAGCCATCCGGCACGAAGTCCACAGCCAGATAAATGGCCCTCTTGTTCGAAATGACGGTCTGGGTTTCGTCCACGTCGTATGCGTAGATCGTCCGTTTTCCGGTGGTGTTGTACGCCAATGTCGCTTCATCATTCGGGATGGTGGGATCGGTGTTAGCCCAGTCCGCATTGCTGTCGGTAAGGTAGAGAGTCTTGAAGTCCGGAGAAAAGGAGACCCCGTTCGGGGCACCGAGGGAGTCCTCGACGAGAGAAACGCTACCGGTCTCCTGATCGAAGCGGTAAGTGGCAGCTTCGAGCTGCTGCCACTCGGTGTTGAGGCCGACATTCCGGCCATACTGGAGGTCGGTGATCCAGATACCACCTTTCTCGTCGATGTCAAGGTCATCGGCCTGCTAGAATTAGCTTCACCAGGTGACTGTGCCAGGTAGTCATTGCTCACCGTGTTGAAGTAGTATCCGTAGTAATTGTTGACGAGCACTTCGGACTTCTTCGTAACAGGGTCAAAGCTGACAACGCCCGGCCGGTAGGTCAGTCCATCCAGCGAGGTGTTTCCTCCCGCGGTCGAGTAGTAGATCAGACCTTTGCGGTAACGAGCACCGGCCGGGGCATAGATAGGGGGATCCGCGGTGACCCGGCCCAAGGTCGGGGGCTCGGTGGACAGATCAATAACCTGTTGAGACAGACCGTCGACTCCCGTCGCGAGGTCAGAGAAGTAGAACTCGTTGGTGTTGGGGGCATATCTGTTGGATTCAGTCAGTAAGTCTTTCTCTTTGATATGCAAGGGATGAAGATACGCACACAGGAGCTTCATGGCCACCCGCAGTGATCTCAAACAGAAACTCAAGCTGATCATCGGTGCCGAGGAACTCAGTCGCCAGTTTCTCATCGAAAATGACGAAGTCGGCTTTTTTAATATCAGCCCAGTGCGGATCGCTCGGGACGACGGTGTCCGTCAGTTTGTCCGGGTTGGCAAGCTCATTGCTGGCTGGTCGACGAAAGTCGGAGTTCAAGACACTGCCAAAGCGATCGAGGCAGAGTACGCGAGGGTATTCGTATCCTTCGCATTTCTTCACCACCGATCTAGCAGAAGAATTGCTAGCTCGGGGGAGAATGGCTGCTGCCGACGCGTGGACCACGCAGAGAGCGAGGCCCAGAGAAGACCAGGACTTTGAAAAAGCAACCATGCTGACTCTGAGCGGGTGAGACGGGAGGATTGAAGGATTTACTTAGTGCCTGTTCTTTCACGTTATCTCTGACCGTTGGGGCAGCTGTTATATACATGCTGTCGGCAATCTGGCTCCCTGAAGAACCAGCAAGAGACAAACTAGGAGGAAGCATGTACAGTTCATGCATACAGACCGAGCCAGCCGAGAATGACATGACGTCGGAAGCACCTAAAACTAAGGCGCATCGGGCAAGACATCTGCACGGGCGGCGGACCGAGCCCCCGAATGGGACCATTCCAGCCCTAACGTCGGCCGCTCGCCGGATGAGGCTTTTTCACTCTTTCCACGAAAATGGCCGGATGGGGTGGAGTTTGATCCTTCAGGATGGACGGATGAGAGTGAGATAGACTTCGGAGACGAAGGCAGAAGGGCAAGAGAGGCGTTAGTTCCTGAACCCAATAAATACGAGGGATCGCCCAGCCCTAACCGGGTTTTGATCCTCGCAACGGACACAACGGATCTATCTCAAGAGTCACATGTCTGCTAGTAGCTCGTCATGCGGGGATTTCTGGGTTTCGTGGCTTCCTTCTATCCTCTCCTCGTGAGGGGACAGGTTTTTTCAAGCTGGGATGTCTCCAACGGGACAACTACGCTGTTGGGGAACGCCTTTGGCGTGTCCGGCGTTGAGGCAGAATATGACTACATTGTAGGTTGAGATCTCGCCTTCCTTCATAGAAAGAAACTGACGCAATCACAGGTTGTTGGTGCAGGTACAGCTGGCGGCGCCGTAGCTGCTAGACTGGCTCTTGCTGGTTACTCTGTCGGACTTGTCGAGGCCGGCTCATTCTACGACCTGGACAATGGTAACAAGACTACCGTTCCGGGCTATGACCAAACCACCCATCCGAATGACCCCTTGGACTCCTTGATTGACTATGACTTTGTGACCGAGCCGGAGCCGGTAAGTCAAGCGAACAATTCTGGTCTATGAAAGATGTTATTCTAACTGGATCAGGGATTGAACGGCCGTAAGTTGCATTATTCGGCCGGACGAACCTTTGGTGGAGGGTAAGTCGTCTCCAGATGACAAAAGCTCATCTCATTGAAGATATTGACTCTTCTCCAACAGCTCGGCCGTGAACCTCATGGGTTACCAACGCTTCACTGTGGGAACCTTCGATCGATGGGTCGAGAAGATTGGCGACGATTCCTGGAAGTGGGACGGAGTATTCCCCTTCTACAAGAGGAGCGCCAACTTCACTCCTCCCAATTACGACAAGATCGATCCTCGGTTCAACATCACCTACGACGCCGCAGCATTTGACGTAGGCGCCGATGCTCCTCTGCAGATCTCGTACGGCAACAACTATCAGGACTACGGTCCCGGCGTTGCCGAAGGATTTGAGAACATGGGCTTGGATCACATTCCCGGGCTCAACAGTGGCTATCTCATCGGATATGGTACCATGAGCGCAACTGTTGATCCCAAGGCTGCGACTCGAGATACTTCAGCCACGTCGTTTGTTAAGAAAGCGATTGACGAAGGAACAAACCTGAAGATCTATCAGACTACTACCGCCAAGCGCATTCTTTTCGACGAGAACAAGAAGGCCACCGGTGTGGAGGTTGAGGCAGTGGGACCGAGGCCTTTCACCTACAAGCTGAATGCGACCAAGGAAGTCATTGTCTCGGCTGGAGCGGTATGTTACCGTGCCCAACTCGAAGTGCGTGACGACAATCAGCTAATGAATGTCGACAGTTCCGCTCTCCGCAACTTCTTTTGGTGTCTGGCATTGGGCCGGAGAAGATCCTGAAGGAGCACAACATATCGACTGTGGCTATCTCGGAAGGAGTTGGTCAAAATACCGAGGTAAGGCCCATTCCGAGAGCAGACACATGCACAGTGCTCACATAAGATCGCTTTTTAGGATCAAGTCTGGCTCGGCTTCTCCTGGGGAGTCAGCGTCAACACCAAGACGCAGATCATTCTGGGTAATCCCGATTATGTCGTGCCCGCGGTGGACGAGTACCTGACCAACCAGTCGGGTCCGCTGGCTGGTATCGGAGCTGGAGAGTTTACAGGTATGAAATGCCATCCCGCTAAGTTTGATGGTGAGAGCAGTCTCTCTGACCCCAGTTGCTGCATCACGTAGGATGGGAGAAAGTCCCCAAGGCCAACCGCAAGAACCTCAGCAACGCCACGCTTGAATGGCTGGACTCGTTCCCGTCAGACTGGCCCGACATTGAGTTCCAGGACATTGCATTTGCAGCGGTGCCCGATAACATCACCGCGAATGGTAATTACATGACTCTCGGCGCAGCTCTGTTGACGCCCAAGTCCCGTGGAAACGTCACCATCAAGAGCGCCGACATGAATGATTATCCGGTTATCACAATGAATTACCTGCTGGACCCGGTGGACCAAGAAGTTGCGGTGGAGGCCTTCAAACGTAATCGCGAATGGGGCCGAGGCTCGGGCATTCTGGTAGATGAGTTCATTCCTCCTGCCTCAATCAAGACAGATGAGGAAATCCTCGAGTGGATCAAGCAGGAGGCGACATTTATCTATCACGTCAGTTCGAGCTGTAAGTGGCGTCCTCTCTGCACACTGACATGCATAAATGCGAGTAATCTCCCGCTGACGTGAGTCTGCCAGGTGCGATGGGAAGAGACGATAACCCGGCCGCCGTGCTCGACACTGAAGCTCGTGTCCGTGGAGTTTCCGGACTCCGAGTTGTCGATGCCAGCTCCATGCCGACTCTCGGTCCTGGCCATCCCATGGCAACGATTTGTAAGTACCCCTGTCTCGTTCTGACGAGTCCATTACCGTGTGACTTTTTTCTGACCGTTTCGATAGACATGCTGGCGGAGAAGATCGCCAATGCAATCATCAAAGGGAAACTAGAATGATAGGCACGCAGAGGCGCATAAGGTGTCATCGAGGGACGATCGCGGCAGTTGAAAGCGACAGGACGAGAAGGCCGGGGGCAGAAGGATAAGATCATCTTTAGACCTGCATACGTGATGGGCAATCTCGGCTCTGGAGGATCGCTGTATGTACTTGGAGTCGAGGCAATTTAAATCCATCATTCTTATCGAACTCCTTTGATCCTTCTTGTATCCGTGTTTCGTCTTGGAATGTAATGCTGGCGTAAGCAACGATTGTAATCACTCACCTCATTCTGCGTGAGATAAAGGTACATTAGCCACTTCTCCGAAAGCAACAGCAAGCGAGGAATGCTTTGGCCCGCTTCTAGGAATTCATGTCACAGGTCAAATGAAGAATCCTCCTTCCTATTCGAGTGGGAGGTGAGGCATCGCACAATTCCGTGGCCGTCCGAGGCAGTGGTGATGTGTTTCATCGATTAAAATAGACCAAGAACGAAATCCTTGGTGAGAATTTAGTGACCATTTTTCCCGCGTGGGAGACTAATTGCTGACCACCGTTGATAGCGGACGCCTAATCCTTTGATCCCCCTCTATCTCGCCAAGTCAGCGGCCGAGAAAGCCTCGCCGTATTCAGGGTTTCGTGGCTTGAACATAAGCCCTGAATCTTGATTTTTTGGAAAAACCAACCCTCTCGAGGACTCTTGGCAGGCGATTTGGCTCAGTCCTTGCAGAGCTAGAGTGCAATCATGGGAAAATATTACTTAGGATATGACATGAGACGGAACACCCAAATATAAGATGGTTTAGAACAGACTAAGTTAAAGTCTTTTTCTTGGGGCCCGTAGTGGAGACAGACAGCGCGGGATGGTGTAAGAACGATGATAATCTTTTGCAACTGCCAACTTCCAATCGGGGAAGAGTATCCTGCTAGCTTTAGAAAATGTGCTCGTATCGTGATCCCCTGGTACAGTACGGAGTACTGCTATCTCTTTTGTCCGGAGCCATCTCTGCCCCGATTCCCGACTCCTGCCAATCAACTTGTCACATCATTTCGTATCCTTCGGCCGGTGGCATAAATTTAGCCGAGCAGGCATTGTGACTAATAGAACAACCCAAACGCCTAACTAACTAGTAGAAGGCCGATCGTTTCTTCTGGATCCCCGGGTGAGCGGGAGATTGCTGGCCGGAGTTCTCGACGGTGCCGATCTCTCTTGGCGTAGACCGGAATGAAGAGCCTTTTATCCTTGTCAGATGGCAACTTCCTATTTCGTCGGGTATTTTCTGACAATTCTTCACGGAAGGAGAAAGCCTGCACTGTTGCGGCAACTCCGGATCCTCCCTTGAGGGGTTGGATGTATAAAATGCGTTGATATGGCGCAGGATGGCTCTGACAGCTTGTTGCCTTCTTGGTAGCAGCTGCGACAGGGGATCCCGGCTAGGACAAAAGCATATGCCGCATTGAATGTCGAAATAGGAAGAAACTATACAACGTTGCTTATCGAGCGGAGTCGTGCTGTCTCTGGAGGTTTCCATGCAGCAAACGGAGGCGATGTAACGGCACCCTCTAGTTCTGGTGGAGAACGGACTCCGTACTGAGTATAAGCTTACCCCAACAGTCGAGACTAGCAGCTAGTGCGTTGCAGGAATTCACCATGAAGGTGCCATACGTACGGATTACTGATTAGATAATGAAGGCAAGCGAGGATCGGAATGGCCCGTACATAACCAGGTCCCCTGCACATAGAGCAAACTGACGTGAGACAAAACCAGGATCAACCGGCCCTATGATTGCACACTTCTTGTCTGTATCCTGGCGACATCTGCACGCTCGATGGCGCCACTTTGGCCGACGATCCAGTCAAGAGCCGCCGTCGGCCACTTTCGCCGCGGGATGGCGGCGGAGTGGCGTTTGATTGAAGGTTGTGAGATGCAGCTGGCTCAGTCCGTTTCTGCACGCGCTGAGCGCTCCTGCCCAGTACAGCAGCGCTAATCCGCGGTTGAAACTGCAGTCTGTATCGTGGATGACCCCCCTGTCCGAAGGAGGGCTCCAAGCCTGAACAACAATCCTTCAATGGCGACTACGGGAGTGCAGGTCGAAAGTACTGTACCAAATGTACCCTGAACCGCCT